CATTGCTTCTTCACATCCTGCAAAGCTGACTATTGCCAAAGATTTCAAAGACACCAAATTTATGGAATGGTCCTCAGCCTGCCTATAGATATGAAGCAAAAAGAAAATTTGTGATTCATCATTAAAAAAGATATTCATATGAGAATGGAAAACAATATTCAAGCTAAGAAAATAAAAACTGTTGCATGTAATGTAAATGTTAAGTTTTTTTTTAAATTAATGGATGAAAGATTGATCAAGCTTATAGAATATCAAGTATCCAATATTGTAAAAGAATTTGATTCATTTTTGTAGTTCCTCTTTTTTAGCTGGTACATTTCTATGATTCATCCTTTAACTAAAAGTCTTAAGGATTAGTTTCTAGACTTGATAAGTCACTTCTGACTTCAAAACCAAATAGAAAACACTGCTATGATATGCAAACTGACCTGTAACAAGCACTTTTTTCACTCCAACATCAATAGCACTATGAATTACATTGTTTTTCTATTTCTTTCACTTGTAAAGGTGAAGGAAATACTTGCACCTGGTATGTGCGACTTTTTTCCAAAAAGAGTTATTTTTTGGGGGACATATCTAGCCTCATGGATTACTTTAACAAATATTACTCATTACTTTGATCATCTTATTGCATTGTCTTTTCCTCCTTACTAGATTCCTGAATTTTTTTTTTTTTTTTTTACTTGACTTTTTGTAGCTTTATACAATTTCTATTGTTTCAGTTTTTACCTTTTATTTCATTTATAAACCTGTTGATTATACTGTGATCTTCAGTTTAATTTAATTGATTAGGGGTATTTATTTTTCTAAAAAATTTTTTACATCAATTGAGCACAGTTTATATCAATAGGTGCATAATCCAGTTATTAGCTGAATTTTGGTCTGAAATTTTCAGTGTATAATTTTCAATTTATAATTAATATTCAATACTGAATCAAATGCATTGACAAAGAAAGATTATTTTGAAAAATAAATATTTGTTGTGCAAAATAAGTGCTTTTTTCATCATTAAGATTTGAACTTATTGATGCATCTTTCAAATGAATTTGAAAAGACAAACACTATTTAATAAAATTAGATGTGCTTCCCAGTTATCACCAAATCCCTTGGCCCCTTGTATGTGAATAAATGCCAGAGAAATAAAAAAAAAAAAAATTTTTTTACTAAAGTATTATGTCGGGACAAAAGTTTGGTAATTGGATATGTGATTTTGTTTTACAAATGACTGAATTTTATGATGTATATACATAATTCTGAAATGTGACATTTCAATGCATCTTTTTATGATTCATCTGTAAATTATGAATTTTAAAGTAAAGGAAAATGAGATGCATTTTCATCATTTGATACTCTCTTATTTCCAGATAGGAAAAAAACACTGTACAAACAACAAAAAATATATACATAACATTTATGGAGATGATGCTATAGCTGAGAAGTGGTTTGCTAGGTTCAAAAGTGGAAATTTTGATTTGGAACACTGAAAACATTCCAGCAAGCCAGCAATCATTGATGACTAAACTGAAATTGATTAAAAAAAATAATTCAGGTAACACAACACACGCCATTACAGAAATACTCCACAAATATCATAGCATTGTAAGGCATACATGAATTGCTATGATGTTTATGTGCCTCACAATTTCATAGAAAAAAATTTATTGGACTGCAATTTGTTTCTCAAAAGCTTAAAAAAGGACAATTTTTTAAAAAGAATGAAAGCAGGTGATGAAAAATGAATTGTTTATGTTGTGAAAAAAGTCCTGGAGAAAATGAAATGAGCCACCATTGACCGCTCCAAAAGTTAGTCTGCATCCAGGAAGACTGCTGTGATTGGAAAGGCATTTTTTTTACAAGCTCTTTGCACAAAATCAGATATTGAATTCAGACAAGTACTGTTCCAAACTGGACCAATTAAAGGCAATGACCAGTGAAAAGCACCTGGAATTAGCCAATAAGAAGGGTGTCATTTTTGTCTCTTTCCAGACTGGGCAAAAATTGATACAGCTTGGCTGGAATGTCAAACTATACCTGCTGTAATCACCTGATAATGCAACTTCAGATTACTACTTATTTTGATCCCTACAAAATTCTCTTAATAGGAAGAACATCAATTCTGTTGAAGCCTGTAAAAATTGCTGGGTTCATAACCCAGAAAGATGCCAAATTTTGGAAGGATGGAATTAGGAAGCTGCTTTTAAAATGGTAAAAAGTAGTGGCACAAAATGGCACCAAAGTGGTTGAATAAATCTATGTACATATGTCTAAATTTACATAAAAAAATGCTACAACTCAATAGATTACCAATTTTAAGGGGCATAACAGATAAGAGCATTTACTCAATGATTCTCAGTGTGGGAGTTAATTATACAGTGGTGCCAATGGATGGAAAGATATACTTTCTCTTACTACTGTATACTTTATAAACATCACCTTCCATTCCTAATATACAAGAATTCAGAAGAAAAAAACTCTAAATATTAATTTGAAAAAGACTAATACCCTTGAAAAAAAAAGTATGAATCTGTTTTTTTTTTTCTCCTTCTCAGATATGGGTTAATTAGATTTGGTGACAAGGCTCACTTGCCTGGAGGTGACAACTAGTCAAGAAGGAAAACTCTGAAATAAAAACCATCCAAAAGAGGGATGATCTTCATCAAGCGATCTTACCCATGTTACACCACTGTTGTTATGGCTACTGTTGTTATGGCTACAGTATCTTACAAGACTCACAACATGAGGATCATCAAAATAGGATATACACAACTAAAGATTCAGAAAACAAATATTATTTGGTGTTCTCGCATATTTTTTTAATCTGTGAAGATATTTTATAATTTCTGCAAGACGCATTATCATTTATTAATCAAAGAATAAGTCCATGTAATGAAATATTCTCTTGAATATTTCTTGATTTGAAATCAAAATTTATTTCTGAAGCAATACAAACATCTGAAAAAGTGTTTGTCTCAATTCAATTCTGAAATTAAGATTGCTTTGTTAGATGACTATCCATATAATCACATAGTAAGATACCATTTTCTTTTTTGTATGTTAACAAATATAGCTAACCCTTGTTTGTAATCTGTTTGAGATCTCATGAATGTTGGGGAAATGTGTAGTAACTCTAAGTTTTAATATTGACTATTCATATACTGGAAGTATTGTTACTAGTTTGGTTGAAACAAGTGATGAAGCTGAAGTAAATGCTGAGTTAAAAATGTAAAGGAAAAACAACTTGGATGTAAGCAAACTGGAATCATGCAGAACAATATCTTGAATCATGTCCAATCAGGTCTTTGAAAGTTGAAAAATACAGAACTGAAGTAGTTATATTTGAAGTGGTTGAATGGTCCTCAAATGGAAAGTTATAATAAAAAAAAAAAGATTGCTCATTGGTTTGTTTTGAACAACATTAAATGTTGACGTGAAAGATGAAAAAGAAAAAACTTACACTGAATTAAGTACTGAATCTATTTCTTTGTTCTTTGAACTAAAGAGCAGAATTCCTTCCCTGTTTCTGATAAAGTTTTAGACACCTGCTTTTCATATTTGTTATTGTTGTTTTTGTTCTTGTTCTATAACAACTATAAAAAGAGTTATTTCTTTTTAAGCACACATACACACACATTCATTTTTTTTTTTACTTCTTATTGTTTTGTTTCTGTGAAATTTTATACTTATTGAGCCACATATGTTAAGTGGATAACAGCTCAACTAGAACAGCATTCTAACAGACATGTGTTTCTGGTAAGTTACCATACTGCCTGACAGCTTTCTATATATTTATACCCAAAATAGCAGTTCAGTGACATTGGATGTTAGGATAAAATACTATATAATTTGAAATCCTTTTCTATATAATTAGCCTTAGATGCAAGCTTGTTGTCTTTAAAAAAAAATACTCAACACTAATTCACATAGAAAAAAAATCTTTCAAAGTTACCCAGCTTAAAATCAAGCTACAACTATGAATACCATGACTGCTAATTACATTTTCTGATCCTTGCTACTGAAAGATCGGAAATAAATATATTTTCCCTCAAATTTTATATAAAAATAAATTTTTTTAAAGCTGAACAATTTTTTGCAAATTGGATATTCTAAGACTGTTAAATTGGATTTATAAATGTTTATTGTATTACATTAAATATGACTGACATCATTTTGGTGGAGGGATTCAAAATAAAAAAAAAATTTTAAAATTAGTTTCTGTTATTAAGCAAGATTAATAACATAGAAAGAAAAAACTTATTAACAAAATTATCAGTGGTTTTGTTTTAATCTAGCCACCTATAAAAAAAAAAATAGTGTTGTTTTTTGTTATAGCGTGATGAAAATTAAATGTTTAAATTTTTTTAGATATAGGTAATCTTACCTTTTAAGCTCTAATGAAAGTCAGAAAAACTTATAAGGATTTTAAGTGTTGGCATTCACTAAATATTGTTATACTTTTTAATTTTTTCTTAAGATGTAGCATATATAAATTTTTGAAGGAAGGTTTGATTCTTAACATCTATAATAAAAATTAACTGCATAAAAATATTTATACTCATTATTTATCAATTGACTTCTAAATAAAACTCAGAATAATTATTTTATTAATAAAATGCATTCTGATAAGTAAATTAACAATGAAGCAATTTTAAAAGCAAATGAAAGCTTTTGATATATTGTATTTCAAAATAAATTATCTATGGTTATTAATTTTAAACTATCTTTTTAATTTTAACAATTTTAAATAAATGCACAAGGAAGTATTGTTTTTCAAGAGTTTTGACTAATATATGAATTACAATTACTGAGATCCAAATGAATGACGTCATACAGATGATCATTTCGTTCATGCAATTACTTGGATTACTTACCCACGGATATTTTTACCTGTTTTTTACCCATATATATATATATATATATATATATATATATATATATATATATATATATGAGGGTATATGTGATTTCATGCATAATCTTCAGAATTTGCTGTTTATTTATAGGAACTCTCAGATAGGAAATTTCCCACATGAAGATGATGATATATATGAAATGGAAGAACTGGACTGTACATATACTCCTAACAGTAACAATCACTTCTATCATCAAAACTTTAATCATAACAACATTGTCAACAGCAATAGCAACAACTGTAAACATCATGATTCCACAAACAAACGCAATGCTTGGATTAATCATAAGCAAGCCAATAATTTCAGTTCATCTAGTACAGCATCATCAACAATCATGAATATGGAGAGAGACTACCAGAATAAAAGGTAAGTAAAGCAAACCTCAACTTGTTGATAATTTACAATCTGTACCTCCAATGGACCTTATTTTAGTTTTCTTATGATTTCTAACTAGAGTTTGTTTTACTGGACAAAGCTGACTTTGATGCATTTAATGAAGATTGATCTCACTCTCAATGTCTTGTAAAATAAGTAGACTGCCCACTATATAACTACTATTGTTGTTATGCTTTTGTTTTAAACCTGAAAAAATCTGAAGATCAAGGAATAATTTTTTTTAAAAAAAACAAAAAAAAACTAGAATAAAACATTGGTCATTAGTAAATTCATTTTTAGTGATGCTTCCTATTAAATCCACTCAAGATAATTTTTATTCATTATATTTCCTGTTTCATCAATCCACATTATGAAGAGGCCTGAGCACTTGGTATAAATCAATGGCATGTAAAACTAAAAGTTCATACACCTATTGCTATAAAACCACTTGTAGTGCTTCTAAAACTTTCATCCAGTAATTAACTTGGTTTCAGAGCTTAAACATCATTATCAATAATCTAAGGCACCTTAGCAATACCTCTGGATATTACCGTATTGTTAGCTATGTCAAAATTCATGGAAATGAATAAAGCCTTTGCCCAATATAAGCAGCCTCTTTTCTGATTTTGATATATCAAGTTGAGCCAACTATGTCAAATATGATAATAAAACATCAACATACTGCGTCAATAGGAATATTTGCTGTCCAACAATATTCACTGTACTTGTCATATTTTCCAACTTACATCCATCAGACCAGTTACCATATATACTTGTGGGTAGGTCACACTTTTTTTTACCAAAAATTTCACAAAATATTAGGGATGCGACCTATCCACTCAACATAAATGTAAAACACCCACCTTGTCATCATGATTTCTGAGAAATCAGAAATGATACCCATAAACATTAAAGCTGTGGATTCAGTTCTGAATGAATTTTAAACCTATAACTTTATATATAAATGAATAAACACTTTTTTCTAAATGTACCATAACAATACTGGTACAACAGTTACTTCCTTTTGTTTACATGATGATTGATGAAGTGTATTTTAACTGCAAAAGTGTATTAATAATTGTAAGTTTTGAAATAAAGGTAGATATCTGATAATTCTTACGTTTAAAAAGGGCTGTGTAACTCCCCAGATTATAGTGTGTCAACAGTAAATCATCAATTATTAAGCTATAAAGTAGGGGTGTGACCTATTCAGTGGGGGCAACCTATCCATGAGTATATACAGTAACATTTTCCTCAAATGGAACCATTAATTCAACAATATAAATCATTTTTGAATTAACCAAACAAATAATAATGTCAGGATGTGGAACTGTCATAATATTGTCATCTCAAGTTAAAAAAGATTATTTCTTAATATTCTATAATAAAATTATATAGTATAAACTATAATTCCTGTAATTTTTAAGTGATATGCAATTCTATTTTTGCATGTATAGTTTTATCAAGTTTCTCATGTTAATATTGTCTTTTAAAATCAATGTACTATCACATTAAAATATACAACAGGTAACTTTACAAGACACTGTCTCACAACCATTGTTCAAAGTGTAGCCTTTTCATTTGGACAAATATCTATAGGGATTCAAAATAAATACAACAATTTGTTTAATAAATATTACTAAATGTTTGGTTTGGTTTAATGCCATATTAACTCCAATGTAAGTTATTTAATGTCAGAATTATTTAGTATGTAATGTTGCGTATGTTAAAGTACTTACCCTGTTGTTATATGTATTTGTAGTTGATAGATGATTCCTTTTTTCTTTTTCTTTTTTTTTACTGAAAATGAAATGAATAAAACACACAATAGCAACAATAAGACTTTGAGATGTGTTGATATTAATGACAAGAATGTATTTTTCTTTTTGTGATGTTAATTAAAATATTGGTAGTGTGTATGTTAAAAATGTTCAGTGTTATTGTCTCTTGTTTTTTTAAAAGTTTGTACTTGTTTTTGCTTGTTTCAAGAATTTGGTTGTTAAGGGTAGCCTTTGAGACTGTCAGCTGTTGATTTTCACAGAGCAATGGTGATCATTCTAAGTGTTGTTGCTTTTTACTACTGCTTGTGATGGAAAGGTCATTTTTATAATGAAGTTTCAGATTTTTAGAATGATGAAAAATTTTATCTTTATTTTCAGAATAATGAAATGTCCTTATCATCAATCATCACTGGTGGGATGGTTGTTTTTAGAATGATGAAATAATATCATCATTCTGGATCATAACAGGTTCCTTGTAACAGAATCGGGTCAGCCTGACAAAAGACTCTGAGCTGGTTGTATGTGGTGCTGTAATCACTAAGACTTACATCCCCTTCCACAATGGGTTGTTGAGAGACAATATTCTATTTAGAGTAAATGGCGCTGACTATTTGCATATGAACAATACTAGGCAGGTATTAGCCAATAGTCAGACTGGGATTGAGAAAGCGCTATATAACACCAGTGTTTTTCGCAGTCAAGAGAGGTGCTTCCGATGTGCAATTACCAGATGAACACAAGTTATTTTGGCAACTGACGGACAACGGCAAATCCTACATTCAATTTAAAGCTAATTCCCTAGTTTGACAGATCGGCATTCGGTCTTCCAGTGGGGTTGAATAGATAGAGAAGCTGGAACTCATTTGCAGGCTATGCAGAGTGAAGCCTTTGGAGCATGTGATCCCTTTGAGGCTTATGGGCGGAGCATTTGCAGTTTACCAACAACTGGATGACAAAGCAAAATCTGACATTGACCAGAAAAAGACTGCCTTAGTTACAGCCTTTGCTACAGATGTGTTTATGGAGTACAACCAGTTCATTGAACAGCACCTGCAGTACAGCAAATCTGTGGATGTATACCTGGCTGAATTAAAGAAACTTGCGTTCTTGATGTGTATGATGAGTTGACCACACGCTGACTTGTGCATTTGTGTACGGGTTAACAGGCCTGTAAAGTGTGGACACTTCTTGCATTGCCTAGGATGGACATGCAGTCTGTTGACCAGTTGCTTGCCCAAACGATCATGAGAAGAGAGATGTCAGTATGCTAGTGGACACTATAGAGGAACCAGGCGTTGTTTGATTAGAAAAAGAAAGTGCAGACAGCATCGTGGAAATGAAGCGAAAATCAGGCACCAATGAGCCTATGAAACAAGATAGCAGAGTATACTGTGTCCAAGCTAGCACGTAAGGAATATGACAAGGAGTTAAAAACATGGTTGGATAACGGCTGGCTTATACCATATCCTGAGGAGGAGCTCAGACCTTCAAAAGGGCTAGTACCACTGATGGCCATTATCCAAAAGAGCAAGGAAAATTCACAGCAAGTGCAGATGTCTGTGCAGACAAGCTAAGGGAATGGCAACAATACGGGTACAATGTATCACTGTTTGACCTTCTGAGAGTGTATCTTCAGGTCCACGTACACAGGTCGTTGTGGCCTTTCCAGTCTTACTGAAAGTGCGGAGGTACTGCCTTACACGACTACTCTTCAGTCTCACTGTGGCACCTCTTATAATGAAGGCAATTATCAAGACAGTACTGTCACATGATAAAGCAATCCAAAATGCCACTTCGGCATACATAGATGACATTTTCGTTGACAAAAGTGCAGTTTCTGTGGCACGCATCAGAAAACATATATCTGACTTTGGACTGATCTGCAAGGACCCCATGAGACTCGACAGTGGTGTAAAAGTGCTTGGTTGGAAGTCTAGCGGGAAGCGTGGCATGCTTCAATGGAGGTGAGGGAGTAAGTTCCCAGATATTCCAACTGTTATCATGCATCGTAATATGTTCTCTCTCTGCAGAAAACTTGTAGGTCATCTTCCAGTATGTGGTTGGTTTAGAGTAGCCAAAACATTCTTAAAGTGACAGGCCACTGCAGTAACCAAAGGTTGGGACAACGAAAGACCCTGAGTTGGTTGTATGTGGTGCTGTAAGCACCAAGAGTTATATCCACTTCCACAATAGACTGTTGAGAGAAGACATTCTACTTAGAGTAGGTGGCGCTATTTGCATATGAACAATACTAGACAGTCAGAGTGGGACTGGGATTGAGATAGCTATATAACACCAGTATTTTTCATAATTGAGAGAGGTGCAAATACCCGACGAACACATTCTCTCATAAGAACGGAGTGTCTTAATAAAAATAATCATCTTTTTTTCATGAAACTGCCATGCCTGAAGCTGTAGCTCTGATGGGCAACTTTTCTTTTGTTGTTATTTCTTGCTGTAAACTATTATGCATTTTATTTTCATCTTGTTTTTCTTTGTTGGGTTTATCTATATGTTTCGATTTTATTTCTACATAGGGTTTTGGTTTGTTGGTTTTGATTAGCAAATATTTTGGTGTTCACCTAAGAATCTGAATAGGGTGCTTCTAATGACCTTTGAATATGTTCTATTTTAATTCAGATTTTATTACAAGTTTGAAGCTTATCTGGAAGATAGGATTTTTATGATTTATTTGATCTTTATTTCCAGGATGATGAAATATCTTTATTATCAATCATCACTGGTGGAAAGGTTGTTTTTAGAATGATGAAATATCATCACCATTCTGGATCATAACAAGTATTAGAAATCAAGGGTTGGAATATAAATCAAAAAAAGAAAGACTAAGTCATAGTTTGGGTAGAAAGTTTTATGAGTAGTGTAGGAAAATAATATTTAAGATTTTGAGACTATATTTTCATGTAAAATCTGGCTTCTTTCAGGATCTTTTTAAAGTTGTTTATTTGATAATATTGTATTTGAATTGTGTTTACTTCTCCCCTCACTGTGTATTGTTCTTGACATGCAATACATAGTGATGGTTCTTTATTTTCTAGTAGGTGATTGTGTAATTTGTGTATGATCTATATGTGGTGTATCTGGCTAACACAACCTCCTTCCCTTCTTTTTTTTTTCTGTATCCTAGTTTCCACTCTCCTTTGGAGATCCAATACTCTTGTCATTTATTTGTGATGAATTTATTTTAAGTTTAAGAGATTTTTGTGTTTGAGTTATTAATGTTCAGTGCTTTCTTTATGTCTGAATCAGCTCTATCATTACCCTGTATAGCAATGTTGCTTGGTATCCAGCATAGTGTGATGTTTTTGGTTTGTCTTGAGAGATGTTCCATTCTATTTAATAATTAGTGGGTCTGTTGTTTTCTTGTTTTTAGTGCTATAAGTGTTGATATGGAGTCTGTGAAAATGATGAATTTATTGTGCTGTTTGTTATTTTGTCAAGTGCTATAAAGCCAAAAGCTGAAATTTTAACACTGTATATTAAGACTTTGTCTGTGAGCCATTTTGTCCATTTTACTTTGTTGAGGATGGCAGCACATCCTACTTTATTTCCATATTTTGATCTGTTAGTATATATAAATATTACTAAAAAGTGTATATGACTGTGAAATATTTTCAGTAAAACAACTCTATATAAATGTTTCAAATCCATACACATTTTAATTTAATTACCATTACTGATATTTACCATAATTTGAACCCATTCTAGCATTTTCACTTTACCATTTTCTTTTTTCTGCTATAAATCTAATCAAATTACTTTTACTTTTAGCAATAATGACATTGAAACAAACAATTATTTGAACAGTGAACCATTCCAATCTTTCAACAGTGCAACAGAAAAAGGAGAAATGGAAATGTAAATAAACTTCTTTACAGTTTATACTCTCTAAACTGCTTCTGTAATCTGAATTAAAAAAAGTTTAACACAAGTTCATCATTGTTTCTTCTTAGACAATTTTGAAGGCTTTGGAATATATTTATACATTTTTTAATAATAAATTCAAAGTTTTAGATAATTTGTATGTCAAATAGCAACCTTAAATAAAATCTCCTGTCAATGTTGTCATTCTGTATCTTAATGAGACTCTTAAGACATATAATTCATCCAGTAGAATTATTAACAATACAAAGACAATAACATTTTTCTCCATTTTAATAGGAGAAATATATATTTAATTTGATAAAAATGTTTCAATTCAAAATACATTAAATCCTGAAAATTTTAAACACACAAATTTGAATTTTTAATATTTTTTATAATCAAAAGCTCCAAGCATATCATCAATAAACAAATATACTTTTGTGATCAGATCACTTTTACTGATAGCAAGAAATGTAGTGAAAGAGCATAATGAAACATCTTTACAAATGGTTACAAAGATACAAAATAGTAAATTTTAACATTTTTATTAATAATTTTATAAGCTTTTGAAAATATATTTAATTTGAACATTTTGAAATTAAATGCTTAATAAACAGGAGGATTTAAACCCAAAATCACATCATGACCAAATGTTTTATAATGAATTCAACATTTCATTAGGCAATAAAAAGTAATGCTATTAAAAATATATATTTTTAAAGCGGTAAATTTCTTAATACTTGTTTTGATTAATTTACAAAATTAACAAGTTTAGTTTATAAAGTATGTATTTATTACCTTCAAGTGTTTTTTCAGTGTTACTTTTATCTTAATAAACATTTCTTGAAAATATTTGTAAAAACCTAATGCAAAATGTATATTTTAAAATCAATCATCTTCAGTTTTGATTTTTTATTTTATAGAATTTTATTCCTGAGTGTTTATTTTCTTTAGCCCTGTTTTTTTTATATCAGTTTAAAACTTATAAAAATCTACATACTATAAATATTTTTTACATTTTTGTTGCTGTTCTAACAGATGCTTTCATCAGTTAAATTAGATCAAAATTAGAAACACATAGTTTACGGAGGAAATAAAAACAAAAATCTAAGAGCTTACTCTGAATTATGTTCTAACAGGTAAACTTGCAAATCAAAATTCTCTTTAAAAATCTACTTCTATATAATTTACAAACAGAAAATTTGTATTTCATTATGTAGCCATTCTCTCCTATATATATATATATATATATATATATATATATATATATATAAACAAGTTCAATTAAAAAAAAACTGATATGGTCTGTTTATTTAATCTTTTATATTTTTCAAATAAAGTGTTGTGTATTGGGATCAAAATTGTGGATAACCTGTCCAAAATTTGTCATTCAGGTACTTTCTCAGTCATTTTCAAGAAAAAATAATGCAAACATGAACTTTAGACAGTTTATCCACAATTTTGATTCCAATACACAACACTTTATTTGAAAAATACAATAAAAAAATTAAATACACAGACCTTGGTTCTTTTTAATCAAACTTGTTTGAATGAATATTTGTTACTAAATATACCTTATTTATAAATATTAGTGCAATAAAAAGCTCTTTTAAATGAATTTAAAATAGTACACTCTTAATTGAATAAAACAATAGAACAATAAGTATATAAGACTATTTGAAAAACTTCTACTTTGACATGTTTTGCCAATGTTTTTGTGAAATTTTTGTGATGATGCTGGTTGTCCATATTGCCTAAATTCTTTTAATCTCTAACATCCTTTTAATAATTCTTTTTCTAATAGTTACTCTTTGGGTGAAGTGAGAAATAGCAATTTGTCCCTCATTGTTTTTCCTATTCTATTTATATATTGAAGGATTTAGTAATTTTATTTTCCCATTGCAATGTTTATCATCCTTATTTATGGAGATATATTTAACTTTCTAAGAGATGTTAATTTGAACTTCAGGTTAAAGAAGTTCATCTGAATGTTTTGTCTTTCTAATTTTTGTTTATAATCTTGAACATTAGTTTCAACAAATGATTCCATCAAGTTTTTATATATTTTTTTCATGCCTTCTGAAAGAAAGTATAACTTAAAAAAAAACATTAATTGCAAAAGGACAGTTTTTATAGAACTATCATATAAACAATACATTTGACAAGGAAATAGTACTATTACAGCTTTTAAACATGTCTAAAAAAAATGTTTATTTTTTATATTTTAGAAAGTTTAATGCTCTTAAATATATTAAGATATAGTTAAAAAATTGTTTTAAAGTATTTGTCGACTTCTGATGGATTTGTCTTTCCTGCTTCCAATTTTAGAGATGATAATTCAGAATCAGTAATTACAGTACAATCTGCATACCAAGATGAAAATTCTAACAGTCATCAATCAGTTGTGATTCCAGTAAGTAGATAAAAACTTTGTATGGTTCACTTGATGAAAATAAAATTCTTACACTCAGTGCTTAATTTCTCGTGTTATCCTTCTGTCTCATATGACTTCATTAAAAATATTTCAAACAAAAATACATTTTGGCAATTAATTAAATGATCATTAATTCTTTAGTAATCCTTATTTTCAAAAGAAAACTTGTCAGTTTAGTGGTGAATGACCCATGAAGATGACATTTTACCTAAAAGTCATGTTTATAGTCAATGTCTAGTTAAAACTTTCTAAGATTCCTCTTTAGAGGACTTTTCTATATTTTTTGACATTAAGTTTACAAAACATAAATTTAAGATACACTTTGTTTTGCCAAAATAAAATTGTATTAGCATTTTAAACTATGAATTTTGAAGCACTAAATCACCTTTTAAAAATGTTATAGGTTAACACTTTTTAAATGTTTAACTTTCTAAAATGAAGATGGTAAGTTTTCCTCGTAAATATTTACAGAGTTTAGTAATTAAAGATATTTTGTTTTTGCTTTTGAACTTTAGGCTGAAGCCAAAACTCCTGAGCGGGTGTTCAAGATTGTATTTGTTGGTGATTCAGGAGTTGGGAAGAGCAGTTTTATCCATCGTTTTTGTAATGATAATTTCCAACCAGCTTTCAGTGCAACAATTGGTAATTTAATATTTTTATAAAATGCCAGAAATAAAATTCATACCTTACACAGAATAACATTTAAGCATTCATTTTGAATAAAAGGATGCCATAAGTTCAATTCTTCAATGTGGAATCTCATAAAAAATGTTCTATGTGCACATATTTCTGTGCTTAAAATCTATATAAACAATGTTTCAACCTGTTTTTGTTTCTATAGGTGTTGATTTTCAAGTAAAGTCTATTGAGGTAGATGGTCATGTTTTTGCTCTCCAACTCTGGGACACAGCAGGGCAAGAGAGGTAATAAAAATGTTTCTTATTTATAAATACAAGCATTTAATAAGTTTTAAAGAAAATGAATTGAAAATCAGGGTCAATTTCATTTTTAAGTAAAACGTTTTTTAATGTAATTTTTCCTATATTATATTCCAATTTATTTATTTTCCAATCAACTAAAATCAGTGTAATCTAAGCAACGAAGAGGCTTTCTTTCGTATTTAAATTAACAATATTTTAATTGATGAATCTTTGTTGAACTCAAACCTTATCATCATCAATTCATAAAACCTCAATAAATCTTAATTTGAAGAAAATTGTTTTAATTCATAAAAAAAAATGTTCCTACTCTGTTAGTATTTGGTAAACTTGAATAGAGAAACAAAAATGAAACCTTATGAAACAAAACATCAATTTTGTTTTCAACTAATAACAGTTAGTTATACTTGAGTTAAGTATATTTAAAAACAAAAAATACACTTTTAAGAGTCTTTGTAATAAATCTCAAGGGATAGGGCATTAATAGTAAAAAATAAAATCAAATATTCACTCTACTGAGTCTTGTGAAGTAATCTCTGTGTAAAGTAAAAAAAAAATGGATGCAATCTCTGTGAAACACGGAATAGGGACAAATAAGTGAATATTTAACTCTATTTTAAAAACATATTAAAATGTTTGTGCATGTGGAACTCTTTACAGAGTGCATAAGTACTACACTGATTCAATATTTTACTTCCGGAATAGAATGATTTGGAAGAACCACATACATAAATACATGTAATCAAGGGCAAAAATTGACCAGGGTCAAGAAATCTTTATAATACTTCAATTCTCCCCTTATTGTATGTATATGGAGATGTTACTCTGTGACCAGAATCCCTATGACCAGACTTGCTTTGATTTTTACTGTGAACCATTTAAAGATGAGAACATAGCTGAGAAAGAACAGATACTGTACTTGCATCCTCTAGGCCAAACAATTCCACTCTGATCCTAGGCAGAAGTGTCAATTTATATATAAACAATTCTGTCATTTCTCACAGTCAAGGATTATATTGAGAATTAAATTTTCTATAACTTTGTCTTCCAAATCTAAAAATGTTGTTATTTTTTTAAATAATGCTTTTTTCTCCACGAAAGGGAGGACAAGAAATTTGACTACTGCAGACAATAAAAATTGTCCAATGAAAACTGGTGTTAATTTTATAGCACAAAAAATCAATTATTTTTCCTTATGCTGTACTCTTTTCACTTTGATATTGCTATTGAAGGTAACATCAATCAGCTAAGTGACAAACATTTACTTAAATTAATATATTAATTAAAATTTAATTAAATTAATTATATTAATTAAAAATGTTCTTGTTTTTGTTACAGATTCCGCAGTATCACAAAACAATATTTTCGTAAAGCAGATGGCGTATTGATAATGTATGATGTTAATTCTGAGATTTCATTGGTCAATGTCCGCAACTGGATGTTTAGTGTCAAAGTAAGCCAAATCCGTCCTTTTTTTTTTTTTTTATTGTTGGAATAACCTACAAATCAAAACATTTATTCATGAAGAGACTTTTTTCATTTTGTATTCAGTTTTCTATCTTTGTAAACAAAACACGGAGAGAATAGAGAACTAAGATAAAATTATCATTATTATATTTTGAAGTTAGTTTAAAAGGTCTTCATCTCCAAATTAGTAAATATCACCTACTTAACCCTAAGGAATTAAATCAAAAACTCTTTAGTTTTCAATACTATATTTTAGTGAAAAAAATACAATTTGTTTCATTTTCCTTTAAAATATAACTCTCTCTTGTTTGTTACTTTTAAAAAAATATTTTGTGGTTATATTGATGTGATTTGGAATTTAAAATTCATTATTGCATCAATAATTGCAAATTTCCATTGACCAATGTTTCTTAATATGAGAATATGGATATCTGCAAATAAATATTATTAAATATACCAATATGAGAACATTATATATTATTGTCTATATTGTGTATTTATAGATTCATATGTAGTAAATTTTAGAATATACTTATTTAACAGTTTATATGTAGAGTTGATAGTAATTTTAAAATGGAACATCAATACAAAGACATTTTATATATGCTAAACAGATTGCTTTCTTTTTTATAGCATAGAGAAAATACAGATCATGGAAAAAATAAATAAAGGGGATAAAGCTATACACTTCAACAAAAGCAATATAACTGCTTTAACTGAAGTTTGATATCTTATAACATGCTTTTGCCTGTAACTTGTAATTAAGTTAATTATCAGCTTTCAATGAATTAAGTTTTACAAGTGCACAAGAAAATAATGAGAAACACTTGTGCAGCAAAATGCTCATTTACTTATTTGTGATGAGACCAAGATGATTACCCCTGTAACAAGAGACAGGGAAATTTGAATTCACTCATACCTCTAGAACAGCAATATGAATTCTATCCCCCTCCCATTTTTCAGATATTGTTAAGCAGTTAACAAACATATGCACACAAACATCTTTTCATATAGCATGTATACAAATAATATACTCTTAATAAACTTAAGGCAAAAAGGTAATTTAACATTTGCACTTGTATTATTACTTTTCTTTTTAGGAGTCTGTTGATGAAAGCACTGTTGTAGTAATAGTTGGAAATAAAATAGATTTGTGCACAGATGAAAGTAGGCGAACTGCTCAGTCCAAAATAGCATTAAGAATTGCTGAAGTAAGTGTCTAATTGTCTTTTTCTCTCTTTTGAAACATGTTGATTTATACTTATACAAATCAAGAAACATTTCTCGAATTTGAAATGACAATTTTTAAATCATAAAAGCAAGCATTTTACAACTTTTATGAAAAGATGACAGGAATGCAATTAAAAATATTTTAATTCTTTTTACATTAGTTTTAAAATATCTTAAAAGAATTTTTTAGATGGCAAATTATCATTATTATATGCCTTATTATTCAGACCAGCACTCTAAAATTTGATCCCTACACTTTATTCAGTTCACAGAGTAGATTCCTTGCTTTGGAGATATTTCATATCAGTTAACATTGGTTTTATTTACCTATGTGACTTTCCTGCACTACCAGTGATTGAGCTCACAATTGCTGTCTCTTGGACAATCCAGTGGTGAGATTTTGGAAAATATTTGCACTCAGGCAGTGAAATTGTATGAGTGTTCTGAGGCTTACTATGACAAGTTTCATCAACAGAGTCAGTACCTGTTATGAATTAATTCCCTGATTCTGGTAGTGCCGAAGAGTCCTATCATCTGTTCTAGTGGAAGAAATGAACAAGCAACATAAAGTTGAATAAGACCGGTGAGTATTCACTGATGAGTTATCTCCCCTAAGCATGGAAAGCAAAATAAGAACAATATCTACCCTCATAGATTGAATAAAGGGTTTGGTTCAGAATTCTGAGAATGTTACTGAGTACGATAGATACCTGAAGAAGGTCAGAAACATTGTGAGTTTAACATCCAAAGATGCTAGTCCAAATTTTCAAAATGTTTTCCTCACAAAAATTAGTTACGATTCCATTTAACCATCTTTAGAAACAATATTGAATTGGGTACAGTCAAAATGTAAAACCAGTAACTTTTTTCTAAATGTTATTAATACTATTATGTTTCATTAGCACTTTTATCAGTTTTGTTAAAAAAAAAAGTATAGATACATATAATTTTACAGTTTAAATTTATTAACCATAATTATTTTCATGTTACTTTTGCACAGCATAATATTCATCAATACCATTAAAAAATGCATTCATATGATAACTGATGAAAATAAAATTAATAGCTGTCATTTTCTCTTCTAATCAATGTTAGCATGAGAAACTTAATTTTATTTAAGTTTTTTTACTAATTACTATATATGTATATTACTAAATTTTCATTTAAAAACCTGGAATTCTCAATGGCCCCATATTTAGGATTTTTTTGTCATTGTTCAGTGTCAACGTGGAATATTTCAATAAACTTAGTTTTCCACTTACTTTCAGTATTTGTTAAACAATTTAATAGAAATTATGTTTATTTAAAACTGATAGAGCTGAAAAAAACAGTAAAGTCACTAACTTATCAAGTGAATTGATAAAAAAATAATGAATAAAATAGGAATATTTACAGTTAACCTTTGATATTCAAAAATTCATTCTTATTTTGATTTCAGGATAATGACAGTCTCTTCTATGAAACAAGTGCCAAGGATGGAACCAGTGTTAAAGAAGCAATGTTTGCCATGGCTTGGTAAGTGTTTCTCAAGAACAATGGTTTAATATTTTAACTTTTTCAATAGAACAAAATAAAACAAAAATTGTTGAACCTAAAATTGAAATACACTTGAACATCATCTACTTTTTATTATATATTATAAAAATAAGATTTTTCCAATTTGAAAAGTTTTTATAAGATTTAGATTTTCATATAAACTAATTTAGCTCTATGAAATCCATGGTAATAATTTCATTTTTTACAAAACTCACTTTAAATTTATTAACTTTGGCTCTTACAATTAACCTTCCTTATTGTGCCAGAATTGGTGAATTTTGCTTAATTTAATTTTGACTCTTGTTTGTACCTACTTTAAGGACAACATTTTTTTTTCCTGCAGCATCCTAAAGGAGAAAGAAGATGAAGAGTTAGAGAAGGCTGTTGAATTAAAAGTGGAACCAAATAAAAAGACATGTTGTAGCTGATAGTGCCTGCCATTGTCATCAGGAAAGTATATTGCTAGGTTAATGAAGAACTTGAAGAAACAACGATTTGTTATTACATTTCTGGTACTTGCTTCTGCACTGAACACAAGACAGAATTTAAATTTATCTCTCCCATATATACATACATATAAAACAAAAATAAACAATATTTTTGAACTCTAAACCTCCTGTGTTGGCAACTGTGGACACATACTATCCTAAAATGCGATAGTTACCATAACAGAAACAAAAATATAACAAGATAATAGAAGAAGAAAAAAAAAAAGGAGCAATACTTTCTATTTAAAAAAAATCCTAAAAAGGATTCTTCAATCAAAATCCCTTAAAAGATCAGAACAATTTAAAAAAAGTAATAAAATTAAAAAAAGGAAAGAAAGTTGGAATAGTTTCTTTTCAGATATTTTAAATTGCACACATTTTTATTTTGCATACATTTTCACAAAGAAATAAAAGAAAAACTTTCAAAATTTTTCCAGGAAGAACTTTTTTAGCCATCTTTTTGACAAACATAAAAACTTCCAATATTAACGAAAAAGCAAGCAAATTTAAATTGTTGTCAACCTAAAAATGGTATATGAATCCATATCATGGGATTTTCTTCACTCATTAATTTTACCAATTTATTCATTTATCTTTCTTACACATCAGTATCTAAGTACTGGATATTTATATTTATCATCATTTTCAATGTTTACCTAAAATATTTTGTTACAATTTGAGAGAGAAAAGTCAAAAGATCTCATTCATCGTGTGAACTATTTATACTTTTTTCTTGAAAGAATCTCATTTTTTTTGTATATGCAAGTAGATCTCTGGGACTTTACAGAAAAGGGAAAACCTGTGAAGCTTTGTTAAACTGGTTTTGTATAATGTATAACATTCAACTTTTTTTCTTTTGGTAGTGTATACATATTTTGTTACTTTGTCCAATTTTACATTATACACAATTTTTTTTTAATACAATCAGGTTTTCCTTTTGAAAAATTCAATATTTTTGTTAAACATTTTGTTTGTAAGTGACCAAACTATATTTCTACACACGCACACACACACACACAAATAAGGTGAACTTATGAAAGATTGTGTAAGAAAAACATGCACAGATAAACTTTATGCTATAAGAAAATAGAACATTGGAAAATTTTCAGATATAACTTATTTGTATACAATGTATAGAATGGAAAACAATGGTGTTTGAAAAACTGCTTACCAAATATGGCATAATAAAAGTGAAAATTTAATTAAAATTTTCTGTACTCATTTCAGCAGGGATTAAATTTACTTATTAAAAGATTCCTCTGTAATAAAATTTAGGAAATATACCTTCCTTTAACTTTATGGAATCAATAGTCCATGAACTGTGTACCACAGATAATTTTTACGTATTTTTAAGAGATATGCAGAGAAATAATTTCTGTTTACTTTGGGGAACAAATTTACTGGATCAAATTTTTATCTTTAACTTTTAAAAATTGCAATATAAAGTAAAAATGTTAATATATTTTTTTTTAATCTTTAATAATTAGATAAAAGTTCATAAATTTCATATATATATATATATATATATATATAAACCCATATCAAGAAAGGATTAAATTTAATGCCTCTTTGCCTTTTAAAAAGTAATAAAATGTTCTAACAAGACATTTCTTTCAGTACTTTTACACCTTTTTACACACCATGTAAGTAATAAACATTCTTGGCACGATATTTGTATTGTATTTTTTATTTTAAGAGCTCTTTCTTTTCACAATGCAAAAGTAAATTGTTTTTAATCAACAAGATGTATAAAAAAATATTTTTAAATGTTCTTTTCAGTTGTATGAAAATTTTATACAACCACAGAAAATTGGCCAAGTTGATATGTCTGAAAAATTTTCACAATTATACAAATGTGTTTAGATGCTAATGTTGATAAGTTCTCAACAAAAAGTAATTAGGTCTCCAATAACTATACTAAGAAGTGATTATTTGTATTTATTTAGATATTTACTAAGCTTTGCTTAATATGGTGTGGGGACACTCATTGGGTATTGAAATCACTATACTTGCAATGAAACTGGTCCACAGTAGATACCCAGTTGCATATTTTTATGAGGTGCATGTCATTTTTATGAGGGATTACCTGCCTAAAAAAGAACATAAATAAAAATGCTTTCTTAAAAGCGAACATTTTAATTAAATTATTTTTTTGGGGGAAAATTTTCAACAAAAAAGATGCTTACAAAAATCTAAATATTAATTTAAAATGGCTTACTTCTGGTTTGAAATCGTGTTTTTTTTAGAGTGGGTGTCAAAATGTTTTTCAGTAATAATAAACAAAGTACATTTAAATTATTACAATACTTTTATTAGAAAAGGTGGAATTTACTGGCAGTTCCTATGGACATATCTAATATTTGTTGTTTCATTTGAACATAATTAATAGATAATTTTTTTCAGTTTTGAAGTTTAAATAGAAAAAATTAGCATTTTATCATTTTTTATAAGTTAAAAATAAGTAATTATTTATTCTGAGTGAAAATGTTTTTCCCACTTGCTTTGATCTCTTAAAATGCATATTTAAGTTATTAATATTAAAATCATGTAAGATTTAAATTTTGCCAGAAATATTTTAAAAAATTATTTATTAGTACATATCATTATGCAAATTGAAGTATATCATTTTTATAAAATACTGATTCTGAAACATCAATAACCTAAATACTTTTGATATATCCAGACTGAATCAGTCTTCTGTACTATTGTGTAATCAAGAAACACTATCTGAATTATAATAAATAAATGTTATCCAATTATATGGCTCAACAATTGTGATTTGGAAACCACATCAACAAGATTTTAGAGTTTTTCTCTAAATATATTAAACATATCATATTTTATGTATTAAAAATAATTCAAACTCTATATTTCTAAATATGTGCATGAGGCAAGATTTGTAGATGCACTTTGGATAACCTTTTTTTTTTTTTTAACTAATTATAAAGTAGAAAGCAAGTACATGTTACACTCATATTAAAAAGATATATTAGGCCTGTTACTAAAAGTTTTTTTAAATAATTCATACAAGTTCTTGGTTATGTAAATTTGAGTTTTCATATTTTTATCCCTTTAAACTGCAGATTAATCATTTTTACATTTGTTTCTTTAAGACTTTTTTGTTCTTAATTAGGTGCAATGGGTTATCATGGTGAGGTGAATTTTTGCATCTGATATATTCATTACAAGAGCAAAGTTGAAGACGAGAACCAGAAATTCAAAATATTGGAAATAAAGATTTCACTATATGTTTATTATACTTGTTTTGAATGTGCTGTTTACTTGAAGTAATGAAATATCTCTTTGAAATATTCTTACTTAAAAGGGCAACTAAGTTGTTGCTTTTATCTACATTCCCATGAGTGTTTTATTCTTATTTCTTACCAGAATGGCAATTAATATAGAAAAAAATTGGGTATATCAATTTTTTTTATAAATCTGTACATTGTTTTTATTTTTATTTACTTGTTTAAAAGAACACCTAACAACTTGAAAAATGTGCTATTTTTTATAAAAAAAATAAAGCAAAAGTGGTTTGCTAACTCAATTCTAGAGATGATTTTCAATTTGTTTTAGGTCTGGGTTTGAATTTTTCAGGGTTGTTTTTCTGAAATATCTTTTTTTTTTTTTTTTTGTTCTTGAAAATGTGTATCTTCATAAGAGGAGACATTTCTTCCATTCACTTGTTTCCTCATTTCCAAAGAAACCTATTTTGTTGTTTTCATCAATTATGTCCTAAATGTAACATTCCAAAATAAAGATTGGAAAGAAAATGAAATGTATCTAATTTTTGTTTTGTAAATATTTGTTTAAAGTGAATTGTTTTGTTGTGTCCAACCACGTCTTGCAGGCTTTTATTACAACCTTATTTCACAATATTAATATTAAGCTCTTTAAAACACAAAGTATTACAACTACAAATGTCAAACTTTTACTTAATGATTCAAATACATGATGTTCCTGGATTTTTTGTAAGGGGACGTAACTTATGTATTATTTACAAATATTTCGATAAAATTGTCTCCCTATTGAAATAGCTCAATATTAATACTTAATGCTAAATGAATTACCACCACTAATAGGTAACAAAATAACTTTATAATGTCATTTTCATAAAATTTTATTATAAAGAACACCTTAAACATTTTTATCTACTTTTTCATCTTACCTTCACACTGAAAGGCATCAGCAGATGTTGAGGCTGTGTCTGACCTGCTCTTTGTATCCAAGTAACCCAGAGGTTTAGGAACTACATAAAGTTTCCCTTGCTAAAAGGAAACAAAATAAATCAAATAAGTCGAAATAATTGAATTGCAATTCATATGTATGATGTCATTGATGTGTTTAATTTGTAACAGTGAAGGACTCTTTAAAGTATACAATATCATTGTATTTAATCTGAGGCAAGTTGCAAGAATTTTGGCTTAAGAATTTCTGCAGTAAATGGTTCACAATAATAAAAGATTATCAAGATAAATAATAATTTTGTTACAATGATAAAAAATGCTCTGCAATGATTATCCAAGAAACTGATAATGATGAATGTATGTTGTTTGTATATATTTATAGCCTAATACTGAATTATTTTGGTAATTAAGGCAATGGATTTTTTCCAGAAATTATTACTTACTCGTTCTTTATATCTCCTCTCAAAGTATTCCAATTCAGTTTCTTCTGGCTTTCTGAGTGAAGATTCAAGTTCCATTTTTTCTTCATCGGATAAACCTAATACCAAAAGTTAAAAACCATTTACTTTTCAATGAAACAATGCAAAATATTATTTAAGTTTGTTACAAATTACACTATAATACAAATCACTATTCTTCATCACTAGTTATGAATTATTTTAGATTTGATCAGATGAAACTGAAATACATTTTTTTTCAATAACTTTATTTGATTGAAAAAAATACTAGCATTTCTTAAGTATATGTTTAATAAAGTAAAATTGATTGATAAGCAAAGATGACTTGCTGACCAAGTCAAACTACTTAATACAATGTAGATCTGGAATTATACAAAGAAACTGCATTTCTAGACAGGAATGACATTCAAGAGTTAACTAAATTATCATTGTCCACAAGATAAAAACAAACTTAATTAAAAGTTTATTTATTGCCCAGGCCCAACAATATCTATAGATTTCTTTATTTTTGAATATCATCCAGAAAGCTTTGTTGTATAAATTTTTTCAGCTTTCTTCATGTGAAGTTTTCCAAAGAAAGTCTCAGAGTTAAATGGAAAAACATCTGTACTCTAATTCTTAACTTTATGAATATGATTAAGCTTGTTGAAGTTTACCTTGACTGTTATGTGATAAGCTGGCAGTAACCATTGTTTGCAAATTGGATCGAAGGAATGCATGGTCTGATGAAAGGATTGGTTGTGATAAGAATTCTTTACTTGGAGCTCCTTAAAGAAAAAAAAATATCAGAAATTAATTTTCCTTTTTCATTTATATTTAAATTAAATCAAGAGATATTAATCAACATATTTGCAATTATTTTACAATTTTTTTCAAGTTAAAAGTAATATGGAGTCAAAGATGATACTATTAGTTATATAATCAGCAATATAAGCATTTTTGAATCTTCTTAATCACACTTTTTATATAATCTATACTTCTTCCTACATAATCTTTTTTTTTTTTTTTTAAAAAAAAAAAGCTCATTAAATTTTTTAAATAGTTTATTTCAAAATATAACTTTTTTTTTTAGTTATGATTAAATATTACAGATGTTTTCAAGTCATCTTTCTGAAAACTTCCTACACAAAAAACTTACAAAAAGACAACTGATTCTCATTTAGATGTGGCATTCTATCAGATACTGATAATAAAAATTTTTTAAAAATCAACTTGTAGTTAGCCTCAAAATCAAAGTTCACTGTTTATTTATGTTTTATAATTCTTGAGTGTGTTTCTTTTATAAAAACAAATCTATTAAGTGTGTGTGTATGTGTATAAAAGAGGTAACTCAAAAAACAGGCAAGTGTGGTAATCATTAGCAATCTAGTCTTGTTGGGTAGTTCAATACTAGTCCCATCCAGTCCAGAACAAAGGGATTGCCAGGTAGATCAATTAGCATGGGCTTATAATTTTGATAGGACTTACTCCCACTGGTAAATCTAAATGGGAACCGCTTATGATAATATAAAATGAGGCATTAAATACCCAAGTAAAACTGATGAAAAGCTTTCCATTAGAAATATCTTAGATGGATGCCAGTCACACTATGAGAATACGAATTGGCATAAATTATGGATATAGTAAAGAATAAGGCTAAAAGAATTCATTGTGAAAGGTATATAATTACAACACCATACCCTTACTAGCTTCTAGAAAAATGACAATGACAGATCTTGGCCAAAATTCAGTAATGGTATTTTGTTATTTTTTAATATTTCTCTCAGTTGTCTATTGGGGTCAAAAAAAGAGGAAAGTGATAAGGCAAGACCAGGCCATTAATACCTTGTTAATAAAGCCTTTTGTCAGTTGAGAACAAAAGAAAATGGTATGGTAAAAAAAGTTTAACAAAAAAGATGAAATAGACAAATGAGTTTATATGTCTTAATATTTAATAAATAGACAGATTGTTATCCAGGAGACTTTGATGGGATTGGTTGAAATTGATTCAAAGACAAAGAAGAAAAATCAACTGTTGGGCCCTTTAGTAATGTGTATGGATGAAGCAAGTGAAGAGGATTTGACTAGGATCAAGGTTTGCTCAGATCAGTAATCACATGGTTGAGTAGATCTGTGATCAAATCCAACATGCCTCCCACCAGCTGATATACACCTTTAGCAGAAAATATTAATATTTTAAGAGTTAGCACTGATTACAAAATGAGCAGTTTTTCTCGTCAGGCCTAGGCTTATTACAAGCTTGGCATAGACTTGGTCCCATATTTGTGGCAAGATGCCAAATTAAGATAAACTTGATAGCAATTCAAAAAACAGTCTTGTAGCTGAGAAAATGTAATTGTTAATCAAGATCACTGGTAATTTTTCAATGTTTATTCATTGTCACCCTCAAAGCATAATGACTGGAAGTGACTTTCTCTTTTTGTACATTCAAAATAAATATAAAAATGGAACAAAGAGTCAATGGATAGAACTATAAAATGTAAGAAAAGCAAAGGTCAGGAAACTTCAGAATATAGTTGGTTATTAGAATTTTATGATTTCAAATTTCAGCTGAAATATGCAAGTGAAAGATAAAAGCAAGAAAAAGTAAAAAAAAAAAAAAATAAATTGAAACATTAAAAGAAATTACTCACAAAACTTTGATGGTTGAAGACTGATGACATGCAGGCATATTTTCAGATATACCATCACCACTCATACCTTAAAATTGTCAGAGGTATACTACCCCTGGCAAAACTAACAGGATCACTAAACCTTTTTCACTCTGCAGCAAATAAAAATCACATAAATGACACAAAACAGTTTTTATTTAATAGTGGCAATTTCTGATATCATAACATGCCTTAAACAAATTAGATTAAATTATTTAAATTAATGATATTTTTCTAGATCAAGAGGAAAAAAGAATAATTACAGAGTCATCAAAAAATTTAAAACTCAGTCCTCCTCAGGTTTTTAATGAAGCCTTAATTTTTTTAAAGTATAGACTTCACTAATGAAAAACAACATTCCCATCAGGCTGGTCTAAGTTTCTTGAATAGCAGTTGAAACAGATCTGTTTTGCATGATAGAGCTCTATCATGGACCTTTTATTTTTCACCATAAATTTTCAATTAGATTGAGATCTACAGTTTGCCGGGTCATATTTTAGCAATCTTTAATCTGTGGAAAAATGCATTATCATCCTGAAAAATGACTTCATCATTACCAAACATATTTTCTATGAATAAAATTAGAAAAGTGTCCAAAATTTCACTGTGCCCCCGTGCATTAACTGTTGAGGTAATGGTTGTCAAATCACCTGAAATGAAACTCCATATCCTAAATGAGGTGGGGAAATTTTATTTGTTTTCTTCAACCAGTCATCTATGTTTCATTGGGATGGCACCAGACAAAAGTTCCACTCCAGAATTGCTTCTTTGTAATCCACTGCAACCATTTTTTTATTCTGTTACTTAGAGTTAATGCTGGTTTTTATTTAGTTTTGCTTTATGTAAATTTCATGCAATTCTGTCACAAACTTAGATTCAGTTTTTACCCATTTTTTTTTATTTGTGTATTTATTTTATTTTCAAGGCAAATTGTTTTTTTTTTCTATCCTGAAACTTTAATGTCTTCTTTGATATACTCTACTCCTATGTTTTCCTTTTATAACCAGAATCCCATTTTATGTATATTTGCACCGACATCTATGTTGGATTTCTTTTACAATCCTCTTCATTGTTTCAATTGATAGCTCTTTTCTTGGCTAACTGCAAGGAAATAGGACTCCAAGCACTCTCTTTTTCTTGCCCACTAACTGGCATATTTAGACTTGGATTGTTATTTGTTTTAGGAAGTTTATCAAGTGATTCTATAATTTTTTTTTCTCTACTTAATCTGGAAAAAATATACGATTAATTGAAATCTCAAGAAACCAGAATGTTCAAACAAAAACTGTTTTGTGTGATAACAGTGATTTGCTTATTTGCTACAAAGAAGCTGGGTAAACATCCTTTAAATGTGGTGATTCCATAATTTGTATCAATAATTTAACTGAGAATATGAATTTTTAACAAGAAATTCACATCAAAGATAGTTATGAAAAAAAGTTTAAATATATCCATCAGATCTCACTTTGTAAGAGATTGTAACAACTTGAAATTTTGGAAAATAAATATCATATCGGCTTATAAGTTAATGAATTATGACTAAAATTTGGTATGTTAATAGTCAAATAGTCACACTGTGGTCATAAATCTTATAAACTACAATGATAGTTTGTTTACAATTCACTAAAAATTCCTTCACTTCACATAATCACTAATTGCTAGTGTTAATTCCCATGATACCTCTGCTATCAATGATAGCAGAGGCATCATGGGAATTAATACTATTCAAATGTTTCATTAAATTTAATTAAAATAACTACAAAAAATGTTAAATTAGTATTTAATAGTAATAATATTTAAATTGAGAAAAAGGTTGCAAATATAAAATCCAAAAAAATAAACAGAATTGAAAAAATGAAACCAAATATCTCACCAGCACCACTGGGATCAAGACGTAAGTAACCTTCTGCCAGAGAGGAGAAACCAGTGATTCCACCCATAGCTGCATAGGGAGTGGGCTGGCCAACAGGATGACCCCTGTCTTCTCTCTCTTTTGCAGTCTCAACAACCATATGATGATCATGAACTGTCTGACCACAACCACAAGTGAATGAACTGCAGAAACCAAAGCATTTCCCACAGGATGCTGAAAAAAGAATAATTAGACTTCATGGTTTTCTTAGTACATCTGTCTTTTGGTTTGTCTATATCATTGTCAGGTGGAAACACAGAAAGGGAAATGAATAGCCAAGTCAATGAGGAATATGTCTAATGAAAGAGGTTCTTTAAAAAAAGTGAAAAATAAGTATATCCACAAGCATTCATATTTAGAGGATTTGGTTTTAGGTTTTTGTGATTCCATGGTTTTCATAAATTTATTCATCTTATGATTTTCCATGTTCAGAAAACAAGCCAATGTTCAAGAAGAAATGAATAAATGTTATATATATATATGTATATATATATAATGTATATATGAGAGAGGAATACTTGCTGAAAACTTCTCTTCCAAAAAAGGACTTGATTTTTCTTCATTGTGCAGGGACAATTCCTCTCCTCCAGACACACACACACACACATAATGTCATCATGTTACCATACCAGCCTCTTTTTCATTTGACTGTCTAAATCATTTATATCCTGTAAAGTTTTTTTGTTTACAAAGTTAATATCTATCTTACACTCTCAAAACTAAGGATAAGAAAGTGATTTTAATACTTAAAAAACAATATATTTGAGAATTATGTTTTATGTTCTACCTGCCACCACACTCCCCATCAGACTGTAGTGTAAGAATTAAAATTTCTACTATTTTTGATAATGTTACAATAACAAAATAATAGTGTAAATCTGATTATAAAGCATTAATGCAAGCAAAAAAGAAAAAAGACAAACATATGAATTATTTTGTCAATATTATAAATGTTACATTGGCCACTATTTTAATGAATGAATATCAATGAATAAAATGGAAAGATCAATGTAAAACAAACCAAAATATACCAACCAATGTTGATTTTACTTACATCGCTTACACTTGAAAGGTGCCACTTCTGAGTGTTCATCTGCAGGATGTTTACAGTGACAGCGAATTGGCTGACTGCCATTAAAAGGCACATAATGATATGATGAGCAACCACATTTATCAACACGGCACGGCAATAGTATAGGACGTTCAGTTGGAATCTCTTTGAAGTCTGTTTTGTGCTGTTTATATCTTTAATAAAAACAAAAATATTTTAAATTCATTATCATTAAGATGTGGCATAATGAGTATCAGCTCAAAATGAGAAATTGAAGAATCGAGTTTGAATTCCAGTCAATTACAAACAAATACACTTGGGAAAAGTATGAATACATCTCTTCTTCTCCCAACTATGGGTTGAATAGCAGGATGGACTGGGTTCTATAACTTTGGTTGGCAACCAGTCTACAGCAGAAAAATGGCATCCTACTGTGGGAAAATCTTCTGCTTAGTCAGTCATGAATTGAAAGAGACATGATCACTCAAGCATGTATTACCTATGGCACTTAACTGACTGATCATTAGAATGTTTTTAAAGCATAAATCTCATGATATAGCTGTCTAAAAACTAAAAATAAAAGATATTGTACATGTAATAAAGAAGAGAAAATAACCAAATGTAAGCTCAAATAGTGCCACAGCAAAAAGTCTTGTATGAAATCACATCTAAGCAGAGTATCCAAAAACAGGTACAAACAATAGCAGCTTAAATCCTGCCATAGTAAAAAGTCTTTGATGAAATGGTGGCTTATATACTTCCACATCAACAGGTCTTGGATGAAGCAAATTATCAAATGAAGCCAAATGAGTTGAAATCATATTAACAAACTCAACATAAAGTCTTGGATGGAGAGATTTGGGAATTATGTCTCACCAAACCAGTTCATTATATAATGAAAACCAAATATGCAAATGAGTTTAGTTTATAAATATGAGAAAAAACAAAGCAATGACAAAGTTGCTGGCACTTCACCCAGAAACAAATTGACTGAACCTGCTTCAAATTTAAAATAATTCTTACAGTGCAAAATTATTGAATCAGATAATTTCTATTTTTTTACTAATTTTTTATTGAAATTTATCTTTTCTTTTACTTTTTTTTTTTTATTAATTGTTCACCTAGTACAAGACCCAAGAGCCACTCAAAGTAGATAGTGAGTTACTGAATAGTAATGGTAACATCTCCACAAAGAAATTATTAAACCTTAAAACAATTTTTCAGGAAAATAGGTTTCTCAAGTCCAGTAGTTGTTATTGCTATTTTCATTATTGATTGGGGTTTCCTTCCTAACTTTTTGTTTTAAGTAGTGTGGAATATCTACATCTTCATTATGTCATTGTTTTATTTTTGAGTTACATTATAGATTTTTCTGTTGTTGAAAGTCCTCAAGTGATGCTGTTTCTATTATTTGAAACAGTTCTTTGTTTTTGATTATGTAGTGCATGTTCACAAGGTTCAGAGGAAAATCCTTGAGACTTACAGGTCTCATTTACTCAAAACCATTTTTAACCAATGATCTTAGAAAGCATTTGTATACAGATGACAGTTTGGATATTTCTGAACAAGTTTGGTGCCATGCATGACACCCATATGAAAGTCTCAATCTGACAAGGCTTTAAGAACATAACAAGTTTTAGGCTAATGTTGGTGATGTAGCAATTTGCAGCATTGAGTGAAGCTATCCCTAGTATAGCCTATTCTATGTTCAATTTCCTTATCTCTTTTGCTTAACTTGTTATACATCAAAGTAATTGAAGTGTTTCCACATTCTAAATTTTTATGATGCCATCACGGCTTTCATTGCAGTTCCCGACCATAATTTATGTTTTGGTTGTATGAACATAAGAGGATGAGGTAAGAAGTGCAGATTATAAGAAATAGGTAAGAAAGATATTAGTTGACCTCAGACTTGAAGAGGTCAAGATTGTAGCAATCGGGAAGCAACAACATAGCAGTTCTTGAAAAGAAGCTGTCCAAATTGAACTTCTTTCTTATTAATGGAACAAGAAGAAAATGGGGATGATTTGTCTCAGTGTACATGACATGCTGGGTTTTTAGCTGTGTAGGTCTGAACTGGTGGAATTAATGCAGCTAGTCAGAACATTTGACTTGAAAATACTGACAGAGTAGTGAGGCTTGTAACATTTTGTCTGTGGGAAATTGAACAAAATGCTTTTAAGGTTCCAATGATTATGCCTCTATTTTCTCCTGAATGCATAACATGAATTAATTTTCAGCAGCCACAGTAAAAAAAAAAAATTAAGGAAAGAGATTTTCTGATTCTCTGCCGCACAAAGCAAAGTCACAATTTAAACCAAACTCTTCTATTCTGAGTTCAAATTAATTTCAATCACAGAATTTGAAATTTGTGGTAAAAGTAATTGTTGGTTAAAAATAAAAAATAAACTGCATCAAATGTTTCTATTACGATAACCAAATTCAACTGTATTGCTGACAATGTATTTTCATATTATTTTTCTCTATAGCGTAGTGAGTCCCAATAAAAACCAAATAAAATATATAAACAAAAATAAAAAGAATTCAAATTAAAATAAGGTAATTGCACTTTCCTTCCAAACGTTATCTTTTTCTTTCTTGCTCTCTCTGAACTTCTCTTTCTATAATTCTCTCACAACTAATGAGAAGGCTACCCTCAAATAAAAAGAGGAAAAAGAAGAAAAGACTGAACCCAGCCAAAAAACACCAGAAGTTTGCAGGAGCAGACCCTACTTATTTGTGACTGAAAAATAACAAAATCAGGGAGGCTCCACGAATTGTCTTGAAGAAATGCGCGCCTGAACTGGCGCCCACCCTTTCTAAACTATACAACTACTGCCTCAAGGAATCTTGTTTTCCTGACTGCTGGAAGTCCTCTTCAGTTGTTCCTCTCTTCAAGAACTCTGGCGACCCCTGAGACCCTTCTAACTACCGTCCTATCAGTCTCCTACCCCTCTTCGGCAAAGTCTTCGAAGCCCTAATCAATACCCAGGTGGTTAACCACCTCACATCCCATGATCTGCTCTCAGACAAGAAATATGGCTTCCGCTTTGCCCGATCTACAGCTGATCTGCTTACGAAACTGAAACTGTCTACTGAGCTCTTCAAATTAATGGGGAAGCTCGTGCCGTAGCCCAAGACATCTCCAAAGCATTTGATAGGGTTTGGCATGCTGGCCTTCTTCGCAAGCTCCAGGGTTATGGCATTACAAGTCGATTGTTTGACCTAATACAATCATTCCTGTCAAACCGTGAATTGAAGGTCGTTCTCAACGGATTCTCCTCCAGTTCCTATCCCACGAATGCAGGTGTTCCTCAAGGCTCCATCCTAGGCCCCACTCTATTCCTTATCTACATAAATGACCTTCCTGATGCCATGAATTCCCAAGTTGGCATCTATGTGGATGACACCACAATTTATTTCTGCCTCAAAAACAAATCTAATGTCAGTGACAAAAATAACCTGGTCGTGCGTCTCGAAAAGGACCTCCAATCAGTTGTGAACTGGGGCAGGAATTGGCTGGTCAACTTTAATGCTTCAAAAACAAAACTGCTCTCTATTAATCACCACAGAGATCCTTCCCTGCCCTCCATTAGAATGTCTGACGCTCAACTGCTTGAGAGCTCCTCTCTGCGGCTGCTCGGTCTCATGTTGACGGCTGACCTGAGATGGAACAAATACATTGAGTCAATTGCTTCGTCCACCGCAAGGAAAGTTGGCTCCCTGTGCCACGCCAGGAAATTTTTCTCCCCGGAATCGATCCTCCAGATCTACAAATCAACAATTCACCCTTGCATGGAGTATTGCTGCCATATATGGTCTGGAGCCCCTTCCGTTTGCCTCGGGGTTCTTGATAGGCTCCAAAGGCGGATATGCAATATAATTGGCCCTGATCTGGCATCTCGTCTACAGACACTTTCTCACAGACGCGCCATCGCCTCTCTCTGTCTATTTTACAAATACTTTCATGGCAATTGCTCCGAGGAGCTGCATTCGCTGGTTCCCAGACTTCATGAGTTCAAGCGCCCGACGAGGCTGGCATCCCGCTCTCACCCCTTCACTGTCAAAACTCCTAAATGTAGCCATCTCTTCTACTCCAATAGCTTCATGTCTCGCACCTCTCGCCTGTGAAACTCCCTTCCCTATTCTAGTTTCCTTGAGAGCTATAATCTCCAGCTATTCAAATGTAATGTCAATTGACATCTCCAGTTGCCTTGATCTATCCACTACCCTTCTCCTCATCCTTTCTTCTATCACTCCTATCTGATCTTGTTCCAAATTTTCTGTAACCCCTTGCATCATAGTGGCTTCCCGCCTTGCTTGGGGTGAAATGCTTAAAAAAAAAAAAAAAAAAACATAGCTTCCATTATAAAAAAGATGAAAAAGAAAGGAATATCAGAAAATAAAATAATTTTGGCAAATCAAAAAAATTGACACATAGAGACTTTTGATGTTAGTCGAAACCAGTGTTCACACCAGAGTCTCAGGGCCTGGTCAAGACGTATATAAACTGACATCTCTCAGCTAGAAACCAGAGAAGAGACAGCGAGAGGATGAATGGAGATACTACCAAATAGAAACCAGCCATGTGTGAAGAAACCAGCCGTCTGCTAATGATATTTCTGCCCTGCTTAGGGCTGAGTAGACTGACACTGACCTATTTCTAAAATTACTACTACCCCTATTATGGTCCTACTTCAAAACACCACTACTTGACATTTCTCCAGACTGCTGCCAATATCCACCTTATTAATGGACATTTTGCTACACTGAATATCAAAGGATTCTCATTACTTTAAACATAAAAAATAAAAATATATTATTTGTTTTAAACCTTTGAGTCAGTTTTTCCTAGGTTTCCAATAAATATCACCAAATATATCTGCAACATTATATCAACAATAGTTTCCTTGTATGACTGTCTTCATTTGAAAGAGATTGGAGATAAAATAAGTAATTTAACTGCCTGAAAAAATTGGCAATGTTATTTTTAAAATTTAAGGTCACTTACATCTTGTATACTATGGGATGTAATCCTGCTTGAAAAATTATAATGTTCTCTAAATAAATATCTCATGATGATAAATAAGTTGTCACCAAGAGAAATTTATTGCAATGTTTGGTGTCCCAACTCATGCTCCCAAAAGCTGAGTTCAAGAGAACCTTTACCAGCAATTGCAGTACATCTAATCCATTTTCATTCTAATTTCTGATTCTTCACTATATAAGTAAACATATATATCCTGAATAAAATTCTTATTCGTTCTCAATTTTTGTTCTTCAGATTCTAGTCTAAGATAAAAGCCACAAGGTGATTTGAAGATTATCAATGAAATCTTCAGCTTGACTCCTGAGTCATTTACATGGCCTAACATAAACAAGAAAAATATAACATCAGAGTGAAAGTCATTCATAAGTTAACAGCCTTGACTAAACAAAACTCTTCCTTCAGTTTTTCAAAAAAATTAATTATAGTGAATATTTATTAACATCTTTAAATTGTAATTTGGCACAAGGCCATGCATTACCTATCTTGTGATCCATTCTTCTTACAATAGACCTATCACTCTAAAAAATCATCCATCTACTTCTTTTATATATAAAATGCCATCTCTCAGGATGATGGCATATACAAGAATTAGTCAATATGGTATATACAAGAATTACAATTAAGAAGTGGTGAGAGAGGGGGAAAAGAAATTTTTTAATCACTATATATACACATGTATACACATACACTTACATGATGATATTAGTCATATTGTGTATATGTATGTGCATAAAAATGATATTATTTCTTTTTTGCAGGTTAAAATTATTAATTTTCCTCCAAGATAAAAAAAAAGACTAAAAGATAAAAAAATATGCTAACACTTGAAAAAGAAATTGACAGCTTATTTTTTATTTTATTAACTTTTCTGAATTTAAGTTGGTATAATTTATTTTATAAAAAGAAATTTATTCCTCTTTTTATTCTTGTTCTATTTTTTATAGATATAATATTTTTTATAGTTACATAAAAAAGCAGCTTAAATTCAGCCTTAATAAAGCGGGTTAAAATAAATTCTACACTCTGGTTGCCCAATACAAGATATAAAACATCATTTCAAGAAATAGTGATTATAATCAAAATATCAACAAATACCTGTTATGCAATTTTAAAATGTTATGACCGTTTAGGATATAGGAAATCAAACCTCTTCACAAGTTCACTTCTTTACTATATGTAATTTGCCATGACTACTTGGGAAAAATAGAGTGGTTTCCTATTACTTACTCTTCAGTTATGAATTCAGAGTTTTCCTTCTATTATACTGGTTGCCACCAAAGACTAGAGTTCAGTTTGTCCTGCCATTTAACTCATAGCTAGAGATTGATTTGTGCCTTTCCCAAAGGCATGTGGTGTGAAAGTGAATATAACAGACTAGGCCAGAATTTGAACTTGATTTGTCAATTCTATTTTTCACACTGTTAACCGTTACACTACCTGCAAATAGCAGTTAGCAATTTAGCCTTATAAACCATTGCCAGTGTTTTTTTTTTATCCTCATTGCCTCTTCTACAATTGTTGTCCTGTGACAGTGCAACACACTAAACTCAGTAAATATTCATTATCAAGTGTTAAACAACTGGGTTTTATGTTAAAAATCTATAAATAAAAATCTCTAGAAAAAGCTGCATAGAAAACCACCTCATGATCGAATATTTATCAGTTGTTTCAAGTAATTCTGATGTTGCTACTTAATTCATTCAAAATAATCCAAACCAGCTTCACATGTAAAGCATCTTTAGCCATCAGAAAACAAAATCCTCACGGCATTCATCATTCAAGCAAGATTTCTAGATTTTGATACTTAGTTCAAACACTTTTAATATTAAGCGTTGTTATAAGATGCAAAACATAAATAAGACCTTTTCAAAAATTGTAATATTTTCTAATTAGATAACTATGCACTAAATTGTTTTTCAGTTCATAGAAGCCCTTCATGAATTGACTTGAAATGATAATTTCATTACAAAATGAATGACATATAAGATTAAAAATACAGATAAAATAGGACAGCTGCCAAGCAGAAAGCGGGAAACATCCCCGTGGATTTTTTTCTTTTTCTTGTATTCTCTATCACACTCAATAAACCCCTTGCATCTTAATGGCATTATTACTTGGTGATGTGAACTAATTTTAGGGTATAAATTCTTTACTTGCAGATTCCCTAACTTAAAGGCCAGTTTTCCTGCCAAACACACTCAAAACACTTTGACGATGGGGCTGAGATGAAAATTTCAAAGTTTTTTTGCTTTCCAATATAATTCTTTTATGACAAAGTTTCTTTATTTTACACAATCAAGTGCATCATATGATCACATATTTTATGATGGATAAAAAACGGAATTAACAAAGTTTCATCTTAAAAATTTTATAAATATGACAAGAAATTAAGAAAAATACCTGTGTTGGCAAAAACAGAGAGTTTCAGGTCCAATTAATTTACAATCCATTCCAGTTGGTGACACCCAGCTGGTGTAAAGGCGGTTTTTCATTCGCTGCAATAAAAATAAATAAATACAAGAAATTTTCACACTATTATTCCAATAGATAGTTCTAAAATCACCTTTTTGATACTAATTGTGATATAGTTGAACAGCCATATAGTATGGAAATATAATTAATTGCTGAAACAATTTTCCATTATCTATTGTATTGTTTAATTAAAAAAATACATTTTATATAAAAATGTATCATTGTTATTGATATCATCCTACAGTGTAATAAGCAGCGCTTTCTAGGTACCTCCAATAATTTGAAAAAAAAGAGTATTGCATGATCAAGAAAACCCTAAACTTGATAAAAACAAAGTCTTATTGTCAAAATGTTTGTTATTATTATGAGGAAAGACCAAGTATATTTTTATAATTTTATTAAATTTTTTCATCTTTTCTAACAGGTATTCTGGTTAAATTCTGGTTAAAAATCTTGTTTTTCTTGTGTCAGTGGGGGCAGATCAGTATAGGAAATTTTACCACCTTTTTAAGCCTCTTCGTATTTATATTAGTTAAAAGTAGGACTCCTGGGAGAATGTAAATTATCAATGTTTTTTTTTTTCAAATAGTTACTCGTTTACCAAAATCTACTCTGAATCAAAATAAACATGCAATCAAACTAAGACATTATTAAATTAGAAAAACTTTTAATTGATTTTATAAAATAAGTTATACTAAGGACAAGAAAAAATTTTTTTGATGAATAATTTGTTTCCATTTTTTTTACATTTTAATTAGAATAACTTGAGTTTTAAATATTTTTAAAAATTCTGTTTTAATTTGTCCCTTTTAGATGATATTATTTCGTGAAAACTATATTTTCTAATCCTAAATTAGAACAAATCATCTCACACCAACATTTTTAAAAGAATTTTTAATTTTGTTTTTATGTATATAAACATATTGATTTTCTATATATAGTTGCTCATACATGACATTATCAGAAAATAAGAGTTATGGACTATAGTAAATTTACACCCCAAAATATTTAAAATTCAATAAAACATTAGATTATGAAGAATATTTTTTTCTTAAATTTTAAAAATTACTAAGTACTGAAAAATCATATATAAAAGATACTCATGTTAATTCAATTATTTTTAATGCCTAAAGCTCCCTGCCCAGAACAAAAAATATTAATCTGTCAAACCAGTGAAAGCCTTTAACTAGGTATCTCCACTAATTTGCCAAAAAAAAAGCATATCATGATGAAAAAATTTTTTATCGTCTAAATGTTCTATTAAAAGAAAAGACCAAAGTATTTTATTAAATTTTTTCATCCTTTTTAGAACATTTGAAATTTTGATTAAAATCTTGTTTTACCTGCATCTGTGGAAGACCATTAAAAAGCAGTGGCTTGTTTCTTAGGTGTTAACTGACAGTTACATCGATGTATTGACAGTTTAGGTCAGGGGAAGTTATCAGATGGAAGAACAGAAGTGACATAATTTTTTTGAATTTTAAGTGAATTAACTTATCTAATTACATATTTTTTTTAAAATTAACAAATACTTTCAGCAATCTAATATTTTATTGATTTTTAAATTTTTTTTAGCCTTACATTTCTTTATAGCCTTATATTTGAAGATGATTTATGGAAAAATAAAATTTAAAATACTAATAATAAATTAAATTTAAAATTTCATAAATGAGAGTGAAATAAAATTTCATAAATGAGAGTGAAATAAAATTTCATAAGAGAGGTACATCTCTTATGAAATTTTATGGTATTATTTTTATTTATTAATTTTTATATCTCAGTTATGAAAAAATTTCACAACTGAGATAATATAAAAATTAATAACTAAAAATAAAATAAAAAAATAAAATTGTCAGTGACTTAGTTGCACTCTTTTTGGTCTTGGGAGCCAGTGACAGATTACTTCAGCAACCCTGAGTTTTCGCTTACCTGGCGACTGGTTTCAATGATATAGCCTTCAGATGTGGCTTGGGAAATTTGCCTGTCATTGGTGTGACCTTGGCTTAGAAGAAATGACTTCTATCATTGTCCTCAGGTTTGCCCCTTCTGGAACTATGTTGGCAAATTAACGACTCGTATCACTCCCAAAAAGTGTATACTCATTGATCTTGGATGTGTCACCCACATATTCTGGGGTGAAACAAATGGTGTTTCTGGTGCTGCTAGCCATGACTATACCTTTTCAACTTCAAAATGATAATAATCAACTTCAAAATGGACTTATTTTCAAGTAAAAAAATTAATCAACTCCAAAATGGATTAATCAACTTCAAATTGGATCAATCAACTTCAAAATGGATCAATCAACTTCAAAATGGAACAATCAACTTCAAATTGGATTAATCAACTTCAAATTGAGAAAATGTCAAAAACCTAAAAACAATCAACTTCAAAATAAGAATAAACAACTTCAAATTGAGATATTTTTTTTGGTAAATTGAAAATTATTTTTTCAATTAATTTACCCCATGAGTAAGGAAATTGACTGTTCGTCTTCATTATATAGATGAAGAAAAAACCAAAATACAAACAACTTAGAGGCCAAGAAAGCATTGGGTGAGCCTACAGTAAAAGTAGGAGGAGAAAGTCCCGTATGTGCAAAAATGATGATTGATGATGAAGAAGAATTAGCAACAGCTCCAAAGAGGACTTACATCAAGAAAGCTATGGCTGGAGAAAAAAAGGCCCAGATTTTAGCTGCACATGCCGTAGCAGGAAATTGGAAAGACCTGGCAAGAACAATTGGTGTGCCTCTGCCAACAGCGTACCGTTGGTTAGACCAGGATGCTGATAAGAGTGACTCTAGGGGAGGAGCAAGAAAATATAAAATTACGCAAGAGCATAAGAATTTTATGGCCGAATTAATTGAAAACTCTCCTAGGGTCACTCTTCAAGACATTGTAAATAAGTTGGTCGAAAAGTATGAGGTTCATGTGACAAAAGAGTGCATAAGAAAGCACTTGGACTCCATGGCCTTTACTTTAAAAGCAGTTCATTATGAACCAGAAGCTGCCAATAATAATGTCAATAAGGCGAAACATAAGTATTACACAGTAGCTTTATTAGAATTTCAGTCCCAAATTCCAATTCTTTATATGGATGAAACCAATTTTAATCTCCATATTTCAAGAAGAGAAGGTCGCTCTAAAAGAGGCATGCGGTGCACTACAGTCGCAGCCAGATCCAGGGGAAATAACATCCATGTTATTGGATGTATTAATGGATTAATTCATCATAAAATTAAAAGAGGTTCTTTCAAAAAAGAGGATGTGAAATAATGGACCAGGAAGTGCCTTAGAAAGGCAAATGAAATTTATGAAAGGGGAGTTGTCTTAGTTATTGATAACGCTCCTTGCCATACTTCAAGTGAAGAAGTCGTGGAGGAGGATGAATTTAGGCAACGCCAAATTTTCAGACTTGCCCCCTATAGTCTGATGTTAAATCCCATTGAAAAGGTTTGGTCAGTCATTACAGCTGACGTAAAAAGAAGTATGGCAGACTGAATTGTTGGGATTTTAAGAGGTGATTGCCAGGGATCTTTAACTACTAAAGAATTCCGCCTCAGCAAGTTAGAAGCGATGATCTCCGAGGCAATTAATAATACTTCCCCTGAGACTTGCACTAACTTTCAATGTGAACACTATTCTCATCAGGATCTGGCCAGATTCTTTGGGCATCAACTCCAGATGAAGATTAGAACTGATAGAAAGCTTTTGGTATTGACAGATTTGTTTTTTTTAGTTGGAGCCCCCTACCTGAAAATCAGCTCTGAATTGTAATTCAATAAAACAAAGATATTATTTAATTTCAAATGCTTTTAGTTGTTTTTATGAATATGGATAAAGCATAAAACTTTGTTGATGAAAAATGAATTTTTGTCTGAAAAATAACTTAAAGCAAAAAACTTTTTCAATGAAAAATGAATTTTTAAAACAATTATTTGTTATTTCTTAAATTATTTTATTATTTTACATTAAAGTTGTTAAATATTATAAAATAAATGAAAACAGTGTTCATTAGTCACTGGTGTTATTAAGTAGATTTATCTTTTAGCATTATAAGTTGTATAGCTTATAGAAATCACAAGAGCCATATGGTATAAAAAAAAACTAATTTCAGATGGCTTTTGTGTCTATAAAACATCTGTAATTCAAATGTATGGAAGACCAGCAAGAATGCAATAAAAAGTCGCGTTAGTTCTCCGCTGTTATGGCTTTTATTTTGTTGTTTGTGTGAAACACATGTAGAGAAGTTAATTTGATTTTTCAATTTCAACTGGGAAGGGTACCTACAAGTATCAGTATCATCGTATGAAATTTAATTTATATGATCTTATTTTTATATTAATCTGTTATTATTTATTTTCCATAAATAAAATATCAAAATTAATAATAAAATGAATGGAAATACAAATAACACAGTAAAATGTAATAAATGTACATAAAATTATAGTATTTTATGTACAATTCTGATAAAATTTCATAATTAGATATCTTTCTTAACACTAACAGTCTTATTTTAATTTCTTTATATTTTCCATAAAGCATCATGAACGTAAAGGGGAAAGCTAAGTACAAAAAGAAAAAAAAATTAAAGCGCTGAAAGTTTTCCTTAAAAACAACGAGGTAAATAATTTGTTCACTTAATAAATCTAAATAACCACTTTTCGCCTTCCGTAGAACAAATTATGATCACGTAATCCGTCAACATGTCACCTGTCAAGTGACGCGAAAGGTTATGACCTGCTTTATTTTATTTTCAAATTACATCTTTTCGGCGCAGAAGCTAAGTCAGCCTTGGTTTCAAAATATTTTAAATAAACATTATAATTTCTGATTTTCTTAAAATAAGTTTTGAAAAAATGATAATTGATTTTTAAAAGAATTTCAAAGTGAGATTTTCATCTTTTTTATAAAATGGATGCCATAATAATCGATCATCTGTCAATTTTCCTGACTCAAAAAAAAAAAAAAAAAGATTTTTAACGAAAATTTCGGACGTGCTCGGAACGATTAAAAAATGTAAAAAAATACTTTGATCTTTCCTCTTAATAATAACATGAACATTTAGACGATAAAATTTTGTTTGCGTCAAGTTTGGCGTCCTTTTCATCATGCTCAGCTATGCTCTTTTTTCTCAAAAACCCAATCTTTAATTTTTTTAAAGCGGACAAAATGGAGAAAAAGAAAGACACCAAGTTATAAAATATCAATTTCCTAAATTTATAATGAAAAACATTTTTATCTATAAAATTAAAATACAAATGCGCATCAGTTAGTATGCCTTTTTAAAAAAATTCACCCTGAGATACTGACCATTGGAATCACATTTTTTTTGTAATTTTCATATTCCTCAGGTGTCATCAGTTTGCCGTCATCATCATCTCCAACAATTCTAAAAGTTGGGAAAATAAAGATAAAGCATACACCTTACTTAAGTTATATAATTTTCTATTCAGAGGGTTTTTCCGTCTTTTTTTTTTTTTTTTTTTTGTCTCAATCTCTATTTTTGAGAAAAATGGTGGACCTGTACTATTTTCTCGCTTAAACATTTTAAAAATGTTAGCATGGAAAGAAATAAGACAGAACTCAATAAAAATTACAATATTTTAAAAAATTGTAACAAATGAAAAACAAAAAAACTTTTAGTAATAATAACATTGAAATAAATTCAATCAAGCAATAAAGTTTATAAAGTTTTAAAGAAACAAAGTTTTCTTCAAACAAACCAGCCACAAAAAATACAAAGTTACTAAATAAAAGTAAAACAACACAACAGTAACAAGAAATAACGCTTTTTTTGAAAGAAAGAAAATAAATTGTCAAAAGTAAAAACATTTAAAAGGTAAAAATCCTAGTTTACTTTTTGCAGCAAATAAAAATATAATTGACCTTAAAAATTATGATTTTTAATTAATAATTGCTCTGGGCTTTTTCTTCAAATCAAATCAAATGCAATGAAAGCAATATTTAAATTTTAGCTAGCTGCTAATATTGAAATTTTTTTAAAAATCGATATCAATATGTAACCATCCTTTACGGCTGGTTTTAAAAAAATTTTATTTTAATCTAAAATTTTTAAAAATTAATTTTTTAAAAAAAAAAAAACATCTATTGTTTTAGTTTTTAACACTTAAATTTGTTAACTAATTTTTTTTTAATTAATTAAATTTCCATGTCTGTACAAACATGAAAATATTGGATAATGCCTGAAAATTTGCTGAATTGATGAAACAGATCATTGATAATTTTTTTGTGTGTTTCACAAGACTTGCCGTCGATATTCCAAGTAAGAGTCAATAGAATTCTTGCCCTGACCATCAACAGTAACTTTGTACTGGTCGGCCATTTCTGTTAAAGTGAAAGTAACAAAAAACCGTATCCAAGGCAACTAACTATGTATATCTGAAAGAAAATAAGTGTATGATAAGAAAAATAAATTTGTATTTTGTAAACAAAAAACAATAGAATTTGAAAAAAAAATTTTATCCACTTTTTTTCATGCTTCATATGTCAATAAATCTAAGATAATAATTAAACGAAATGCACACAAAACAAAAAAAAATTTGAATTTTTGGTGATACTAAAAAAAAATAACTTTTGCTTTAACAAGTTTCACTAATGAATGCTAAGCAAGTGTTTTAATTTTCAATTAAAAATAAAATTATAAAAAATGCCTTCCAATAAATAAATTACAAATCAAGAAAAATTTAAATTAAATTTTTCTTGAGTTGTGATTTATTAAAAAAAAATAATTCAGTCAGCGGTCTGACGAGAAGTACCATTTTTACAAAAATATATAGCGTGTGAAACTAAAGTAAATATTTTGTCCTTATTACTAAAATTAATAAATAAATAAAAATATTATTGCTTTATTAAAAAAAAAAGACTGAACTTTTTTTTTCGCCCAACACCTCAAGTATTATGTTCTATTGTCTGTAACAACAAACAGAAAAAGTACATGCCAATTGCCAATATAAATCATAGAATTTGGGATAGAAAGTTTTCAATCGCAGTCGGATACTTGTAAAATTAGTCAATGTACACAAAAGTTAATTCAAGGTAACAACCAGCAGTTTATTTTTACTCTCATAGGTACAAAGCTTAAATTTCGTAGTCACAAATATCGAGCATCTTAGTAGAGAATCGAACTCACTAAAATTAAAATAAAAATAATCTACAAGCCTTTTTGTTTTGAGCAATTTAAATAGTAACTAGAGTAATCTCCCTTGGATCACTATGTACTAAGTTCCTTGACAACAGACGCGTTGTGAAAACTAAAATATTTTGCATGTTGTTGTTTTTAGACTTGGAACAAAGTCTCGAAAAATATTTCAAAGGGTAATAGTTGCAAAAATCTGAGTTTTACATTTAATTTCATATCATAAAGTACTTCTCAAATGAGAAGAGAAGTTGATCCTGATACAAAGACAAAAATAATAATAATTGATTGATACTTTTTGTAAACTTATCTTATTAGATTCTAGAATAGATTTTTATGATGTCTATTGAAGAGCTTGTGAAATCTGTGGCCTGCAAAATGTAAGTAAAGTAGTTCATTTAATTGACTTTTTTATGAATGTTTATTTTATAGTAAGTTAGGTTGATTTGCTAAAAATACTTTTTTTTAAAGGATTGAAATAAAAATTTACTAATTCCTCGTAAATCAAAACCACATTTCTTTTCAAACTTACTATTTCGTTACCACGCACACAGACACACACACACACACACACACACACACACACACACACAATCACTATTCATTTGGTATAACTATAGATACAAATGACGAACAAGGACAATGGGGTGATTACGAAAAATAAATCATAAAATATACAACATAAGTACAAAGTTTGCATATGTTTTTTCATTGTTGGTTGATGTATTATTGTAATCACTAACACACTACTGATCATCAAATATAATTTCTAACTACAGTACAAACTTATGTTTTGCAATGTCATATGATAACAGTTTCAGAACTGTCTACTCACTGTTCGATCTGTAACTATTAAAATATTTAAAGGTTATTTTAGAATATAAATCAAATTGTATACCAGTATGTAGAATATGCATATAGATTCTAATGTGAACGTCTTGTTTTAATATTTTTCTAGGAAAAGTAGTTTGAATTAAGAAAAAAGAAATTATAATGATGTATGACAGTTGTTCCTATTATTCTTAAATCTTGAAGAAGATTTAGAAACAATCCCAAAACTAGAATATTTTTAAAACCATTCTGGGAAGATATTTTCTTAAAACAATTTGTTAAATATTCTATTTTATTAAGGTGCACATCTTAAGATAAATCTGATGTTTTGTCAAATAGAGGACAAAGACTGGTCAACTTTTGTAAATTAAAATATGCAAAACCAATATACATAATTTAATCATCAATGTGAAAACAATGTAAAGATGATTTTGCTTTGTGTATACATATCTGATTTTAAACACATTGCAATGCTCCAGAAATAATGTGAATATCTGAAATATTTCTGGAAGTAACAGTTCTATTTTAAAATCAAAAACTATTTTCTGACAAATCCCTTTTAGTAACCCTTATTGCAATTTCAAACATTTTCTTGAATTTCATTGGTTGTTAAATGCAAGCTTCGAAAAATTTCCATAATAAAACAGCCAAATTTTGTGCAAAGTAGGCTCAACTGACTTAAAAAAATCTTTCTAGAATTCACCCCTAATTTAAATGTTTCAAGAAATCCTATTGGATAAAGAATAAAAAATACAATCTCGCCCACGCATTTCTTGGAATTATTGGCAACATCTGCCAAGCTTCTGTTGAGCCGATTTAGTCGTTAAAAAAACTATAGATACAAATGACGAACAAGTTTTCGGCACATTTGTGGTTCATTCTTTACCCTCTCATTCTTCATCCATAAATTTTTATATATATTGTACATATTTTATTATCATCCAAATTTTAAACCATGGAGTGCGTTTTCTGTAGGTCTCCCTGAGAGGATGCAGTATTATGGTGGATGGAGGATTGATTGGTGACGGATGAGTTCTTGTGGTGAATGGGTCGTGAATCAGATTAGCTAGGTATAGGATAGTATTGACCAACCACAACCCCTTCCCCCTTTTTGGCCTTGTGCCATAATTGTAGTTTTACAATAAATAAATTGAGATTCTCATACGCAAGGGATACGCACAGAAATTTACTCGCATGCAGAGAGATATTTACACACACAAAGGAGATACAAACTCAGTGAGACACCAAGAAAAAACTTTATTTTTATACTGCATTTTGGAACAAACTTCTTTTATGAAAGATTTGGAAAGTTTCAGCTACAAACCTTTTCCATTCAATATCTTTCTAAGAAAACCTTTTGTCTAATTTAAATTTAACCTTTATAGTAAAAGGCTTTTACTTACTTTCAGCATTGAACATTTCCAAAACAGTAAAGAACTTTTTCTCTTAAATATACTCTTGCACACATCATTACAAAACAAAAATTGTAAAATTGTGTATATAAAAATTAATTTGTTGTTCCAAACCTGTCCTTTTTGTTGTAATTGAATATTGTTACCATTTGACCATTTTTTATAATTTACGTTTGTGGATGTTGCATGTCTTATTTGCAGCACAACTTTAAATATTCATGCAGCCTTCCTAGATCCACAACACCCTGAACAATTTTTACCAACATTTTCAACTCTTTTAAGACCTGCATTTATATCATGTTATTGAGTATTAAGTTCATATTAATTAAGATAATTTTTGAAGTTCAATGATTTATTACCAAAAGTTATGGTTAACAAGTCTCAGCAACTGACCTGTATATTGAAAATTGTACTAAGATTACACTTATAACAATTATATCTGATAATGCAATGACATGCACCAACTCTGAATTTACTTTTGAAACTTATCAACAATACTAAAAAGCAAACTGCATGCTTTTTTTCTGAATCAAACACCATAATCAAATAGTAAATGCTAAATATTGTAACATAAATGTATGAGATGAAAATATTCTGTACATTTTAAATTAAATGAAGAAGTAATTATATTTTCTTTTATTAGAAATTATTACATTGATGTAAAACAACGAGAAGATGGCTTTAACCTCAGTGGAAGTCCTTTGAGATCTAGAAAACCTTTGTACATACCAGTAAGTAAACATTTTATTGCTTAGACTGATCAATTTTAATATGTATCACCAAAAGATATATAAAATTCCCAATAGTCTAACAATAGTAGCTAATAATGGATTTATTTAATATTGTTGTTTTAATAGTTCATTTGTGCTTAATCTCTGCTTTCTCTTATTAATAAACTAAATTAATCTGTTCTATATTTTTATATTACATGTTTTCATTGCATATTAAATATCATTTTTTTCTGTTTTTGATATTAATAACCATTTTATTTTATTATATTACACAGAAACCTTTTTTATATTCAGTTGAGAAGAAATTTTTTGCTTTTTGTTTTTTTTCTCATTGCCAAGAACAGAAAATTGGAGAAAGAATTAGAATTATCCAAACAACTGCATTACCAAAAGCAACTTGAATACTGAAAAGGGTGCTGGAATAGTGAGGAGGCTTGCTATTGGTGTAATGAGTTGAAAAAGAAAAACAAAACAGCTTTTAAAAAAAAATTCACCTTATTTAGGCCTAAGTAATTAACACAGAAATTGCTGGTGTGATCAGTATCAAATCTCATTTCAAAATTAAAAATGTGTTTAAATATGAACTCAGATTTTTTCAAAATGTAACCATATCAGGAAGCATTTTTTTAACTGACATATTTCCTCCAGTTTTACATCTTTATAGATAAATGTTTCAATAAGATTTCATGGCTAATATAGAAATTTAAAAAAAGCATTTTAAAATTTTTTTTTTTATTATTATTATAATTATCATTATTATTAATAATAATAATAATAATAATAATAATAAGCAGCAGCAGCTGCAGTCTTCTTGACTGGCTGTGGCCATAGAGTCGCTGCACAGCTGAGCACCTGACCAGTTCTTTCTATATATCTGAAATTAGAGCTAGAGAGGTATTAATTCATAGGCAGCATGTCTTGAGCAAGTAGACCTGGCGGTGCCCATCCCTCTCCAAGTTAAACTACAGCTGATGTAACCTCCAACTTAGAATTTATCTTAGTCATGGACACATGGCTGTTGTTTTTTGCAGGAGAACTCCCCCTCCATGTTGGTCATTGACTTCAGTCTAGTAAGTCCTCTGACCAGCAATGCAGTGTCATCACTGTACTGGCTGCATACATAGCTATGGAGTTCAGTCTACCTAATTGTGTTAGATGGCCATTGACACTACAAGAAGATTCATCCACACTTTGATAGATCTTCTTTTTAATCCTGCTCGGTGTTTAGTCACCCTCCTGAACAGAAAAGCCTGGTGAGGGAACCAATTTAGTCACTGATAACCCAACTATATTGCAAGTAGTATTGGGTTACATGGTAACAGTTGCACTTGTAGAGTGATATAATTCAGTGATAGTAATGGTTGCTAATTAAATTTTGTATAAAAAGATTAATGAATATTCTTGAGTGTTATACTGACTATTATTTAGTATAAATAATTGTTCAAGTTTTAAACCTTGTGATTTATTTCATTTTGAAAGATTTTAGAAAATATATTTAAGATATCTAAAATAAATACTTAAATCATTATTGATGATTATATAAGAGTATATAAAATTTAATATTTATTGACATGTTAAATGGTTTTATATCTAGTGAATGCTAATGTATTAATTGACAGTGTATATGAATTTTTTAAATAAAAAGTTGAATGAATGTTATAAACAAATAATCCTTGAAATTATTTTACTATGTTGTGTTTTAATGTTTCCTAATATCTCCTGATATGAAACATTATAAATATTCTTGATGTTTACAAGTATGCAGCCTTTGGCACATATTGGACTTGAAATTAATTTATCCAAATCTTTGTTGGTCTATATCAATGGTGACAAGCTTTTAAGGCACTCTGAATGATATATGTTGTTGGTTTCAGTCCAAGTAGGAATGACATCAAAACACTTGCCCCTTCCCAATTTATAGGCAGAAGCACACAAATACATGCTATTTTCTTAGCCAATAACATAGACCAGTTCTCAGTTTCATCTGATTCAGTTCCAGTCTGTCTTGTCTTGAAGTAAGAATGCTACGTTCGCTTGTCCATACTTGCTTTTGTGTGTCTACCCCAATTCTTAGTTTATGAACTTTTTGCCTTATTAGTGTTAATTTGCATATATTGTTTGCTTGTTTTATATTATTTTTTGCCCTGTTCTTTTCTTTTTCTTATTATTGCTTATTGCAAACTTTGTCAATTCTGTTTGCTGGACAGTTCTGTTACTTATTTTGCATTTAACCATGGTTACTCACTCCACATATGTGCTATTCTGTGTAAAGTTCAGAGGACACCAAGAGAGAATGTCATGGTTTTTGGCTCCTGTATTCTTTCAGCAGCTGTACATTCCAGTCTCAGTTCCAAATAAGAGTATCCACTAAAAATAATATTTGTGATAAAAATATACAATATAGGGTCAGATGACTACTTAGGCTTAATGCCTACCCAGGTTATTTCTTCTAAAAAACTTCCCAATCTGCTTTACACCATCCAAAGTGCTCCATGCCACTCCAAGGAAAAACCTAATTGAAATAAAAACAACTCTATAGAAAGTAGTAGACGGCGTATGTAATATCAAGTTCAATGACACCATCTGGCAACAAGCATCTCACTTGTTGAATGTAGCAGAATCAGCCTTCAGTCTCCAACAGGCATGGCTCTACTTACATGTTTTTCTTCAGTTGTCTCCTACTGCTCACTTGTCCACAAGTTTCTCCAAAATACAGCAGCAAGTCTACAGCAACCCTTCAACAATGGATTCAATTTAGCCTTGATATCCCAAACAAACCAACCATCATAAATAAGATAACTTCAGATGAATCAACTAATGCCAAGTAGCCTGTCTATGTACTACATCTCAGCCATATCACAGAGAATGGTTGAATAAACCAGTGACACTCTCTGGGACTATGTATGCCTCAATGTCACCATACATCTCAGTCTTTATATCTACAAACCTCATCACAGCCATTGTTGAGTCACCATCAACTTATTTGCTCTCAACCCACTGTCACACCATCTCAGTACAGGCTGTCTACACCAGCATGCTACTCTCAATGATATACAAAACAAGTTTTGCTGCATCTACTATTCTGTCTCTGTTGGGAATTGACCAGGAGGGATGGCATGCACTCTGCCAGTGATAAAAAGTGTTAAAAGTGATAAAAATCTGTTTGTTTACATTTGAATGCAAAACTGTGCAGATATGAAAAACTTTGAGAGAGAGCTATGACAGGAGAAATTTTGCTTGAAAGCATGAAATTTAGCCACACCTAACCAACTGCTCTTCATGAACAAGATGGTAAAATATACCAGGCTAAATGGTAGCTCCCTCTGCTACACAGTTTTTATTCCTGCCAGAGAGTGCAAATTTTTCTATAATAAGATTTCTCAAACATTCAGGCTGATAGATGAAAATAAATAAATATACTGTTTAATAATAAAACAGATCACCTACTCAAATATGAGTATCAACTAAAAATATTTAAAATGATAAAAACTCTGCCATTATAGCTGTTTTCCTTTTGCAAGTGGCAAGTCACTTGTCTGGAATGCTACTTTCAAATGGTAACCTACCTGCATCAACCACTTTGCCTGGGTCCATTGTCCAAAAGGTGAATGTGTGAAAAATAGCAAAATGTAAGTCAATATCCAACAGATACAACTTTGTGCCAGTTACCAAACTTGTTCATCAAATAGACCCTTTAGCTGCTCAACTCCATGATAACCCATGAAAAATCACCTGGCTGTTTCAGAAGATTTCTTAAGCAATCACATTTGCCATTGTGATAGCAGGGACACCATGCCAACATTAAAATTGCAGCTTTAAACAAAAATATATACACTTAAAAATTTTATTTATAAATAAATCTAAAAATTTTTTTTTAAAATATCCCTGACAACTTCTTGAAAGAATCAGAATATTTGAAAATTTCTACAAATTTGTTTGCCTTTTACAAAGTCCACTTTAAAACATTCATTGATTTCAAGAAATTTGAAGCTAAACATATTTTTTAAATTTAGGTTTATAATTTTTTTTAATTCAGGCACCTCCTCAAAGGCTTTATGGGTCTAATTCCATCAAAAGAAACAGATTTTCAATATACAACACATTGCAAGAACAACCAAGTATTTTACTAAAGAGACGACAAAGGTTGGTCAATTCAGTTTCATCTCAATCTGAACAAAAATATACAAATAACTATATATGATATTTTTTTATAAATACAAATGATGCTAATTTAAATAAAATCATTTTTCACAAAATAATTGTTTATCTGAGACACTTCTATTAATGTAATATTAATACAAAATATATATTTGTCTTGATTTTAATTAATAAAATCTTGCAGAAACTTTTATTTTTTGCCAAATTACAGAACTCAGAATTATATCCCAGCTGTTATTGGAAGCCCAAAACGAGACAAAATTGTTCAAACTGCAAGTAAATTCTTGGTTTCTTTGGTAAGTAATTATATAAATAAATGTGATACCTCAATATTATCAATGTAGAATATATACACATGTCAAAACCTGGAAATTTAAATCAATTCTTTGACAATCTTTACTCAAGTTGAACTACTGTTCTTTTGTAGCATAAAGGGTAATAGTTACTGAATTGTAGATTCTTATACAATTATATCATTTAATTTTACATATATATATCTATATCTATAAAACAGAAGATGTCTGTATGTGTGTGTGTGTGTCTGTCTGTGCATGTGTATGTTATTTATGAATGTCCACATTTTTTGACCAATTTTGATGAAATTGTACACACATGTTGCAAATTTACCAACTTTTCAATCTCCAGGAATCCCAGGTTTGGCAGGGAAATCAATAAAACTGAAGGTGGGTTCAACTTTTAGCAAAAACCAAGGCAAAGTTAAATGCTGACAAAATCTTTGCTGGATGAACTGATGTTCTTTGCACTTAATGAAAAACATAACTCATGTTACAAGGTTTATGTAGAGTGCTTGATAGTTTTCCTGCAACATTGGCTTCACACAAAACATTGCTAAAAACTGTGAAAAAATTCGGTTTTTTGTACTACTTAAAATAAAAACTTGATAAACTTCCTCATTTTTTATCCAATTTTCTTCAAACATGTTACAAAAACTTTGCCATCATACAAGAAATAAGATAGTGTGGTTTTAGTCCTGCTCACTTCCCCGCATATAACAAAAAAACATGAAAAAGTGTTAAAAAAGCCTGTTTTTTGGCCATAATTCCTTGGGTTTTCATTTGACACTTTCCAAATTTGCCATGTAAAATTACATATGGCACACAAATTGTCTTGTGTGAATCTTTGGTTTAGATTCAGTTAAGTGGATGAAATCTGCAACAAACTTTTCACTTTTGCCATTTAGCCAATAGTTTTTTCATATGATTCCATCCTAAATTGGTATTCAAACAAACTTTGATGCAAAGATTGTTTGGGAAAGATGATTGAAGCACTTAAAGACGAAAAATTCCCGAAGAACCTCTTATTAATGCCAGCTTTACAATAAATGTGCAAAGAAGGGTTGGGGGAACATTCATGCATTTGCACTTGCAGTTGAATCAAGCTCTGATGCTTCATCCCTATTTTTGTTCGATTATTAGATTTGTGAACAATGCCATACTATTTGAAAGTTATTACGGCCACAGGAAATTTAATGAATATCTAAAACATTGAAACAATTTAACTCCGAGCTTAGTATACCAATGGATGATGCAGGCAAGCAGGGATGCAAGCAGATATTTCTAGATGGGGGAGGTGTGGTTATACAATTGTAGTCATGTACACCTGGGCAACATATGGGGTACCTCGGCTAATATATATATATATATATATATATATATATATATATATATATATATTTTAACATATATTGTTAAATATAACAGACAACGAATGTCTATTTTGTTTGATCATGAGCTGTTCTATGCTTCGTATAGTGACTTTAGTTTCGGGGAAAAAATAAAGTGTCCAACATTTGGATATTCTTTTTATTATGCTGTTCCTCAATCTAAGCTTTTGGCTTACATGAGCCATCATCAGAGTGGTTATATGGACATTACAACAAATATGTTCACCATCAAAGATGACATCCTGTTATAGAAGTTTGCTATATGACAATAACAGTCATGGAATAGTAAATGCAAGGCTAAATTTGTAATGCAGTTCTATGACATCATATATGATCACGTAGGAGAAAGAAATGTTCTTAGAGAAACAAACATGTTACAAAGAATTTTCCCACAGCCATTTGATTGTATAATATATGTTAAAAATTTAAATAAAATTATAAAAATTGAAAAATTGATTTTTTTTTTATTTTAAAGCAGTTTTGTTACAAATGTGAAAAAATCGATAAGGAGTCCAAATTCATAATTTTCTAACTTAATTTACATAGCAGCATACCAACACGAAATTGATAGTTTGTTTTTCAAAATAATATAAAAAGATAAATATAAAGGACTGTAATAAAAACAAGATAAATTTAAGTTTTATGGATATGAATAATGATACATATTTATCAATGAAACTTTTATTTGATAATTTGTTTTTCTTGTGATTCTTACTTAGATAATTTATCCTCTTTAAAATACTTTCCTTCAATTCAAATCTTATTCTTTGATTTTTGTATGCTCCTGCCTTCTCATGACTTTTAGCAATCATCCATCTTTAAGCCAAATAATCCCTACTTTGCAGCTAGCTTTAATTTGATTCCATATTTATTATTTGGTTTTGTGTTAAACTTTTTAAAAATCTTTTCATTAAACAGGGTTTTCCTAATACCAATTCTCTACACCAACACAGAAAACAACATAATACAGAAAACAAGGTACATTAAACTCTATAAATTTTGTCAAAATTCTACAATATATAATTTACCTGAAATTTTTTAGCAGTTCTTAGTTTCACTAGATATTATTTATTGTTATAAAGGAGAGAAATTAACTCATTCTATCCTGTTAACAACAAAATGAGTTATATTTTCAATAAAAATAACCTCTTTTTCCAAATAGATAATACATCTGAAGAAGGCTGCAGAATGGATCAGTCAAAATGTAGGAACAAGATAAATATCATAAAAAATGAGTTCCGTTAACCAAATAATACTTGGAAAAGTAAATTACATGCACAAAAATTCATTAAACACAGTTTGAAACCTTCTTTCCATTTTAGTTCTATGCATAAATATCACAGTAGGTTAAAATTTATTAAAGCTATAATATTGCTGCAAAAAATGAATGCAATAAAATTTTTAGCTTAAAAAATTCTGTATGTATATGTGTTTTGATCCTGTGGTAAAGTTCTAGTTTAAGTGACACAAATGTTTGTGAAAAAAATTGATGTATATGAAATAATTTCTGAGGTACAAAAATTTGACAACTCACTTAGAAAGTTAATAATAAGGACAAAATATGATAAAAAATGATAGAATACATATATCACACCCACACATATATAGAGAGAGACAGACTGACAGAGAATGTTTGTTTGTAGGTCACAAAAGGTCAAAGAATTTAGTTTTTTTTAACTCATATTTATTTAAGTTTCTTAATATATTTCTTTAGAAATATATCCAGAAAAACCCATTTAGAAATATAAATAAATAGAAATAATTAATTACCTGATATATTAGATATTTTCTAACTCTTTTATCATTTCTTCCATACTGATTATTATGATTTTTATTTTTCAGAATCACAAACTACCAAGCATAAATGACAGAAAAAATTACCAGGGAAGTTTTTTTTTTTTATTTATATAAAAAAAAATATCAGAGAGGTATTGCTTTTATACAAGAAACTCAGTACTTGATATTGAGATGAATTTACAGCACAAAAGATTTTACAAGTACAAAAAGTTTTCCTAGGCTTAGTTAAAGATGAATATAAATTTGAAAAATTTTCTTTGCTACTTAACAAGTTAAAGTTTGAACTTAATTGTATTTCAAAATAACTATTTAATTCTATCAATCTTTACCAAGAAATAAAATAAAATTAGTCGATGCTTAATTTATTTTTGCTCAGTGTTATTAAAAGATTCTTTTAAAATGGAACCAACAAAAGTCAGAATTTGCAGCTTACATTTAGAAATTTGAAATGTATTTCTGCAACCCAATCTTCTTTAGCAGACTTTTAATTGTTCATAAAAATGTTAAAAGATTCAAGAAGATATTGATGTGTAATAGCAGTTACTGATATTGCCAAAATTAAAAATCTAGAAATTTCTTGGCCTTTACTATGAATATATACAACTCACTCAATTACAGGTATGTCTTGGGATCTGTCAGTCCAGAGGCACCTCCACATATCAAGTTCTTTTGTTAGTATAAGCTGTGAGATTGTATCTGTCGCTGACTTGCTAGGCCTGTTGCATAGCTTATGGCACCTGGTATTCCCTCGTGGTCACCTATCTGAATGCTGACCAAGCTCAGTGTTGCTCAACTTTGGTAATCAAATGAGAACCAATGTTTCAACATCATATGGCCATAACACTGTGTATATATCTTATCTAAAATTCTTAAATGTAATGAATTATTTTTTAAAAAAGATATATTAAAAGAAATGATACAAAATATTTTAATCATAACAAAAGCAACTTTTAAAATTGCCTAATTATTTTTCTTTAATGTCCACATTACTGAATATACCCCTTCTCTATGTTTAATTGTTTTTCTTATCATAGCACTCTTTTTTCTTTATATTTTGCTCTTATTGAATTTACATGTGAACTTTTTTTTTTAATTGAATAGTAATATAAAAATTCATCCTTAAGATATATTTGCATTCAGAGCTTTTTTTGCCTAATTGTCAATCTGCTGACAATTTTTTTTTATCTCCTACAGGATTTTATTTATGATGACACTGGTTCGTTCTGTAAAGAAGAAATTATTTTGGACTATGGAAAAATGTAAGTAGGAAGAGTTTTTTCATCATTAATAACTTTTTCTGCTTTTTTATATTTTTTCTAGGCAAAACTAACTCTGACAATATCTTTTATCACATTAGTGATAAAAATAGATTTGCAGCCTCATTCCATAATTATTTTTAATTTTTGTGTTAACTCTTTATTGATTGACTCAAAAGTTTAAAGTTTTATTGGTAAATTATAATTATACTTTTTCTATGTGAATGTTTATTTAAAACAATGCATAGTAATTTGTTTAGCATGCAGAAAAATGCCTCTATTTTTCTAGAAGGCTTATGAAATCTTTGTTATAATTTAAAAAAAGCAATCCATTTATATTCATTGACAACTGCCATTTATTTTAGACTAGCAGTAGAGCCCGGCGTTGCCTGGGGATGTAACAGTAAGAGATAGATCAAGTATCAACCATCATAAAGACTGAAAAATAAAATTGACAAAGATTATTGTTTAAGGTTGATGGACACGCATGTCTTAATTAGTTTTTTTTTTCTTTTTTTTTAAAACCTAAACTCAAACAAAAACATTGTTTTCAATTGTTATGAGTCTACCGATTAAATAGAATTTTATTATAAACAATTGTCTTGTAAATGGAATTTTTAAAGCATTCTGAATGTAAAAATAAAAAAAAAGTGTGCAAGACAATAAGAAACACTACCTGCCAAAAAAAAGGGAAGTTTTGTTGAAATTGGTTGAAAAATGTAGGAAATCCGATCCCATATATAAAGGAACACACACACACACACACACACACACACACACACAAACAACCTGAGTTTTATAAGTATAACTCGATATGAGTTGTTCCCCTTTCATTCTGGCAACAGAATCGTGTTTTCAAATTTATTTCATGCAAAAACAATTGTGTTTTCCAATTTTTGGCACTGTCAGAACCACCACAAGGTAATTTTACGCAGTCCTGTGAAGTTTTGTTGAAATCGGTTGAAAAATGTAGGAAATCCAATCCAATATATAAACGTACACACACACACACACACAATCTGCGTTTTATAATAAGTAAGATGTTTCTATCTATCTACTTTTGTTGTTAATGGAAACTCATTTATACAAGATCTATATTCTAATAATATATGGCAACCAAAGACAGATCATGAGGATTAGTCCCAAAACAATGTCAGTTAGTTACAGTATTTTTCAATTTAGATTGTATTGTTTATTATTATTGTTATTACTATAATCATAATATGTACTATTAATAACCTTACAAATTTTATTTACAAGTACATTGCCAATGTCCTAGTATCTTATTGTTTAAGACATTTTTAATTCAAACAAAATTATTAGAGGTCATTTCAATTGCTAGCAGATTGATTTGATTTGAACACTGATTTCTCTTGTCATCTGTCAATCTTTTATGATTTTCATCTTGTTCTATTGTTCTATCAATACTTTCTAAAATGATAGAAGTACATGAGTTAGGTGATACAAAATTGTTAATTTGGCAAAGCTTTAGAATCACAGGTACTGGAAAATTAGTGTTAGGATGTACTGTTTTGTTCAAAACTTTTAATAAATCCTCCTCTATTTTTCAGAACTCCTGATCCTCCTCCAGCAATTAATTCTACTCAAATTCCAGATTCTCATCCAGAATCCCTGAATCCATGTCCTCCAAAAGAAGTCAAACCCTCTTACTCTGTTTCCTATTCTGCTGATCCCACCCCAGAGTCTTATGGAGTCCTTATGCATTGTGCAACACAAACAGATTCAGATAACATTCTCATACAAAGATACCCACCAAATAATGTAGATCAAGTAAGTGCATAAAGAAGAAAAAAAAACAAAAATATGTTTTCCAAAGATATCAACATAGATTTTACAAAAAATAAAATTGGCTGCTTTGGTTAATTTGGTTTATATTGTAGATGCCCATTCCAAGAATTGAAACTGGACAAACTAGTTAAAGAACCAGATGTGACAAATCTTTGATCTAATCAAATATAAATATTTACTAAGCTTAGCTGAGTCTGGTAAAACATGATAAGCAAAATGGAAGGTAAGAAAATACTTTTTTGATTAATATTAGTTCACCAAAACCAAAATAAACAATGCATGGCCTTTCCAGAAATGATCCAGCCATTTAATATTAATGAAAAGGTAGCCGAGCTTTGAGTGATGGCCTTTTAGTGCTTTTGGGGGCCTAATTCACCTAATACAATTTCTTAATCTCATCCACACTCGGAAAATTTATCACCTAGAATTTAGACAATTTTAGAAGTCATAGGGAGAGATGACTAGACAGTAGCATTACTGACAGACACTTAAGTGTTTTAACAAAAATAAATTCTGCATAAGATGTAAAGAACAGTTAATTAAAGATACTGAAAATGGCTGGATACTTTCCACACTGTCTGTGGAATCCCCAGATCATATTGTAATTCTCAATTGCAAATTTCCTTTGATTGCAGCCTGCATGTTTTCAACACATTTAGATATCCTGCTTTTTAAAGGCTTTTTAGAATGTAGATTCCTTTCAACAGATTTCTTTTTGAATTTGAAGTGTTTGCACTAAAATTTTATCTAGGCATTACCTATTGACTCATTTTTTCATTTTCTAAATGACTCATCCCTGAAAGTCTTCAAAATGATCTGACAGATGAATATCCAAGTTTGAAGCAAAAATTGATTTATATTTGTATATGTGAATGCAACAGTTACACAATATACAAGTTCACTTGGTGACATCTCAAGAAAGATTATCTGTTCATAGATACTCAATAAGGTCCTCTCAATTGATCATCAAATTACATCAAAGCAACACAACCAATCTCAAGATATTCAAAATAACTGGATCATTTCTTCAATAGATCACATGTCACTTTAACGAATAAATCTAACAACAGATGTAAAATTCTTTTAGCCTTGTCTTGTTTCCAAAGCAATCAATTTACAAATCACCATATTCTGATTCTTGTTTCTCAGCTAAACAGATTCCAGTAGGATTTTATTTGTATTTATGTAGTTATATTAATATCTATCATCTGTTTTACAGTAATCATAAATCATTCTCTGAATGTGTTAGATATTATGGACATATTTCTGATCCCTCTTTAAATAAATCTTATATATTTGCTTATATTCAGGAGTACAAGGAAATCACATCAGGAAAAGAAACTAAGTACATTGTTGTTGTAAAAACTGGAAATGTTCTTGGTGCAAGTACGAGGGCCCAAATCAAAATAATATTGTGTGGGACTGAAGGAAAGACTGGAGCCATCTCTTTGCTCAAGTCAGAGACCAACAAGATAAAATTTCAAAAAGGAAAAGTAAGACAAATTATTTTTCATGTTAATTAACCTTCCAAAATGTAAAATAATTCATAAATAGCTACAAACTTAGATCAGATCTTACCAATGATGACACAATTTTTTTTGCATTATAAAATTTATGCAACAAAATAAACATGTTATTGTGAAATTGTTATTTTTACATGTTTTTTAAAATCTTTTGATTAAAATATTCCTGTTAATAAAAAATTGTTTAAAAGCTTCCTGCAGAATTCATGCATAAGTGTTGCCATAAGGAAGCCTCTCAAACTTCAGGTACAGGTGGATTGAATTTAGCAAAAGTATTAGCAGTAGATAAGATTAGTTAATCAATTAATCTTAAAAGAAATAAAATCATATCATTGATTACTTTATTAGTATTTAGTTAGTTTTTGTTTGAATTTCTGGATTTATTTACATGTGTACTATTGTCCTAATCTTTGTTGTTAATGGTGATAACAAAACTCTACATGTAGATAATTGTTAATGGTGATAATAACAAGAGTCTGCATGTAAATATATGTGTCTGGTTAGAAAAGTCAGAATTACTGTTTATAAGCACACACCTTCAACAATTTTTCTCAATTGATCATGTCTGCTCACATATCTTAACATAAACAATGACAACTTATGAAATGGATTAAATCCAACAATTATTTAATATATTTTCTGTTTATATGTTATTTTTATTGATATAATTTATTTAAGTAGATGCTTTTTTTTTTTTAATTAAATAATATTAATTACATTTACTGGTCTGAATGTTTGAGAAATTTCTTAGAAAATATGCGTTCTCACACAGGAATTGAACCTGTAACCCTACTTATGGAAACCGACATATATGTTGGAGAATGCATATTTGATTATGCTGGATTTTATTTTGTTATGATGAGAATAGAAATTTATTAGGTCATTTTATGTTGGTTGATTGGTTCAGGTGGACACCAAGTTTTAAACAGTTGCTAATATGGTGTAGCTTGATATCTAGGAAGGGTAAGGAACTGTATTTTTCCATTTTGTATGGAAATTCCATTGTGTGTTTGGCTTTTTTAGTTGATCTACTAGGTCAGGTAAATCAGTATCACAAGGATATATAAGTAGAGCATCATCAATAGAACAAAAATATGTTGATTGTTTGGTTAAAATATTTTCAAAAAGACTGGATTCGAGAAATTTTAAGAAGATACATACCATCACTCCAATCATTATTACAATTATTATTCAATGTGAAGTAGCATTGATTGGTGAAGAGAAGGCAGAATTTTATTATTTTAGCTTTATCTTTGATTGCATTAGATGCTTTTTTTTTTAGATTTAGGCATTTTTCAATTGGGCCATGCGTTTGTCAGTCATTTCCCTTAGTTTTTCAACTAAGTTGCCTGAGTTCTTTATATGATACTAGCAGCATTACCTGGCGTTGCCTGGGTTTATTCAAAAAAAAGATCACGAACCTCATCCAATCTGTAAAGTTAAAATAAAGAAGATTTTTCTTTAGTGCCTCTTATCTATATGGCGTAAAATTATAATGACATGAAGTGTGAAAACATTTATAACAGGAGAAAGTTGTTTTTTACAGAAGCACAGAAGATACAAAAAATATTTGTCAGCAAGAGTATATTAATTGCAATCGATCGTCAGAAATTGTTGAGGAGAAATTTGTTGACAGCTTTTGCTCAAACTACATAGAATGAATAACATGCATTGGAAAAAGAAGAAATTCAACAAAGACTTCTCCTAGCAGCTGTACCAATGTTCACAAAGACTGTCTAGAAATGCTTCAAGAACTACAGCCGCAAGAGCCTTGAGAACTCAAGAAGAACGTACAATTCAAGAGAACAGAAAAGCTGCAAAAACAGCTGACGCATTGACAATGCAGGCTGCATAAGACAGCCTCAATAGTTTGGAAGATATTGCTGCAAGATCAGCACCACATCAGAGAATCTCTAAACATTGTAGTCTTTAAAGGCATCTGTATATGACCTCCTGCTATTAAGAGAACCAACCCATATGTCCTACCCCAAAGTATCTCGATAGTCTGCTTATGTGCAGACAAAAAGGTGAACAAAGGAGCATTTTAACATTATGTGCTCGGTGATATGATCGCACAAATCATCATTGAAGATTTATTACAGTCACTGAAAATCCAACTAACTTATCCAATAGTAGGCTAAAGCTAATTACTTAATAAAACCGTTTGGCATAATTGTACCTTTCAAATAGTCTATTGGGTTGAATTTTATTAAAAAGTTTATTTTAGATTAATTAAATTTAACTTGAATTAAAATTAATCCTGGTTGGAACATAGCATGGTTCTATAGAGTCTATTTTAAATGACAAATATACATGTATATAAGAAACAAAACGAATAAAAGGACTGACATCATAAGTCCATTTAAAATCTACAAGACTTCATGATAAACTATATTTTTGGTTTTACCTTGTGGAACAACTGTAAAGAGATTTTGTTTGCCTCTAACTCTGAAGAAACCAACATATAATTGCCCGTGTGAAAAGCATGGCTCTTCCAAATGAACACCTGTAACAGACAATGTTTGTCCTTGGGATTTGTTTATCGACATTGCAAAACTGACACGAACAGGAAATTGTAGCCTTCTGAAAGGAATCGGTAGTTCTGTTCCTGATGGAATAAAAGGAATCCTTGGAATGAACACATCCTCCCCTTTTGCACATCCTGAAAGAATAATTGCCTCTATGACGTGTTGCATTGTCTTTTTTACCACCAAGCATGTTCCATTGCAGAGTCTTGGTGGTTCCAAATTTCTCAACAGCATAACTGGGGTCCCAACTTTTAGGGCCAATCTGTGAGGCGGTAGTCCAGGTGGGTCTAATAAATTAAGAAATTCAGTTGGATAATTCACCACCTTATCTAGATCTGGGATTGTGTCAATGGACTTGTATATCTGAAGATTGTCAGGGATATATTGGAACAGTTTGTCATTAATCTTACAGATTGTGTTATTCTTAGGAGCCAATATTTCTCTTTCGCATAGCCTATCTTGGTTGAGATAATTTACTTCTAGATTAGGAAAGACGCTTGCAATGAGATCATCTATTGTGTTGACTAAATTACAAAGTGGTTGAATATTCACCTCTCCATCGGGATCCACAGGCATTTTGCCTTCACCAATCGCCAATATATCAGCAGAAAACTGTCCTGATAACTGATCACCATATAAATGAGTTTGCATATTGATGGTGAGATTTAATGTTTGTACTAAAAACCAAAGGGGAGATAACTTAAGACAGGCCTTGACTGCATCTGCTCATGTTCCTTTGGGAATGACTGGAAGAGTCTGCCTAAAGTCCCCAGAGAGAAGCAGAATTATACCGCCCATTGGTTCCGAACAATTGCATATGTCTTGGAGGGCTCTATTAAGTGCTTCAAGAGTTCCTCTATGGGTCATGGTATATTCGTCCCAAACAATCAGATGCCACTTTTTTAGCAGCTCTGATTTATCTGAGTTCTTGCTGATATTACAAATGGGTGTATCAGAATGGGTCATATTCATTGGCAGCTTGAAAGTTGGGTGGGGAGTTCTGCCACCAGGCAGCAGTATTGCAGCGATGTCAGAGGATGCCACTGCTAATGCAATCTTCTCTTGTCTGACTTTAGCGAGATGACGTTTTGTGTCAAAGGTTTTACCCGTTCTTCCAGGTGCATCCAGGTAGAATATTACCCACTTTCGATTTTGAACACTTGTACACATAGTTTCATAGGCAAGCTTCTGTTTCGGGTCATTTTCATTGATATAATTGGTAAGAAGATTTATGTCATAGCATGTCTCCCATATAATATCAGTTGGGTGTTTATTGGAGTCCTGTTGATTTTGGGAAGTCCATATGAGGAGAGTGTACTCCTGCCCATTGAAATAACCCTATTTTCTATATCAATTAGTGCCTGATTGAATATTGCATCACTGAAGCTGACCTTCATGCCTTAAACCTGTAGCTGAGCTCGATGTCTGAAATCATCTGATAGATCATTTCTGAAGTTAACCCAAAGGGCAAGTTGGTCACTTACTTCACTGTGATACGACTGCTTCAGCCATGATTGCCTCCCACTGTGCATCATTTTCCAGCAGTCCATATTTATGGCAGGCGTCTCTAAATGTTCTACACAATTGCCCTTTGAATGTCTTTAAATCCTGGAAATACCTGGGTCCTCTCACCTCATGAAGTAAGAGACAAAGATAGAAGCATTCTTTTTGGCTAGGATGCACTGTGTAAACTCTACCCAGACAATGCTCAAGTTTCACACCAGGGAAGCCTTCAACATCTTGCCCTGTCCATTTATTACTATTCCATCTATAGTATGACGGAACTTCAGGGTAAAGGAGGGTGTGAGCAAAATCATCAAACTGACAAAGTTTAAAAAAGGCAGTCAATGTCATGTCTCTTGGTTTGTGGGCCATCTGAACTGCATTTTCATTGCTGAAGTAAACATGCTGACTGTTCACCAGATGGACTGCCAGCTGTTGAACAGCAGGGTGCTTCTGGTGCACTGGGAAGCCAAATATTCACCAAAAGGCTTCATTACTACTGAGATAACGTCCAGTTTGATATTGGGTTACCTCATCGTGGCTGTTCTCTCTAAGAAGGTTAAATGTAGCAGCATCAGACCCTTTGTTCACATACTTACAAATATATTTGATCGATTTCACGGAGTTACAAAATTCAACATTGATATGTGCGTTGAATGTTTTCATCAAAAGTGGGCAGTATGGCACAACTCATCTATTGTCAATTTTGTGTTTTCCCACAATGGTTGTGACTCCTCCGTCTTCTGGTTTCTGCTGTCTATACAATGGATAACCATCGGTGCCGGTCTGTGTTTCGCGGAGAAACTGTTGTGGAAACCTTTTGGTACATGTATTGTCTTTAATGCATGGTGAATTCATGATAAAACCGTGGCCACATTGGCCATGTATCATGTTTGCTTTAACATTCATATATAGCTTCTTGTCAGTATTTGGATCCGG